GTTGTTATCGTGAAACACGGAAATGTTTTTGTTGTTTATTATTGTTATCGTGAAACACGGATCTTTTCTGTGCATTATTGCTATCATGAAACATGGACATGTTTTTGTTGTTTATGTTTGTTATCATTAAACATGGCAATGTTTTTGTTGCTTATTATTGTTATCATGAAACATGCAAATGTTTTTGTTGCCTATTATGGTTATCATGAAACATGGGCATGTTTTTGTTGTTTTTTATTGCTATCGTGAAACATGGACATGTTTTGTTGTTTAAGATTGTTATCATGAAACATGGTTTATTGTTGTTTATGATTGTTTTGATGAAACATGGAAATGGTTTCGTTGTTAAAAATTGTTTTCACGAAACATGGAAATGTTTTTGTTGCTTCCTTATTGTTATCATGAAACGTTGTCTATTATTGTTTTCATGAACCATGGAAATGTTTTTGTTGTGCATTATTCTTTATCATGAAACATGGGAATGTGGTTGTTGTTCATTGTTGTTACCATGAACCATGGAAATGGCTTTGTTGTTTATTATTGTTTTCATGAAACATGGGAATGTTTTTGTTGTTCATCATTGTTATCATGAAACATAGAAATGTTTTTGTTGCATATTATTGTTATCATGAAACATGGAAATGTTATTGATGTGCATTTTTGTTATCATGAAGCATGGAAATGTTTTTGTTGTGTATTATTGTTATCATGAAACATGGAAATGTTTTTGTTGTTGATTATTGTTATCATGACACATGGAAATGTTTTTGTTGTGCATTATTGTTATCATGAAACATGGAAATGTTTTGTCATGTATTGTTGCTATCATCAAAATGGAAATATTGTTGGTTGTTTATTGTTGTTATCATTTAAATTGGGATGAGTTTACGCTTGAAATGGTTTTTCGTTGGTCTCCGAGCTGGGCGTTTGCCCAGTACTCAGGAATTCCGATGCCCTCGTCGAGGCTGGCCGGAAGTGGCCTTGAATGTTTTGCTCGAATCCCTGCAGGCCAGTCAATTGGATCCGCGTTTGACAAGTACTGAGCGAACTGTCCAGGGAAATGGGGTCACTGACCCGAGTGTGGGTTCAGTTGGAGACATCGAGATCAGAAGGGGGTTCAGTGCAAAAACCAAAGCCCGAAGCTTCGAAAGGCTCACCAAAGGGCAAGCGCCCGTTTTTGCGGTTCCAGAGACTCACCGGCTAGTTCAGCTCGCAACATGTTGCGATTTCCGCTTGGCTTCCCTTCAAACCACCCTTAATTTATGCCCTAACCAGTTGTTGTCTTCTTTTGATGGTCGCCCCTTGGGGTTTGAAAGGGCCATGAAAGGGAAAGCGCCTCTTTTGCGGTTACCGGAGACAAACCAAGTGGGGAGCTCTTCAAACCACCCACCCGCCGGGCACGCCTGTCCCCCGGCCGCGCGTCCCGGCGCTCGCCTGGGGCTTGAGGTGGCCTCGGAGTCTCTGCGGCTTCGCCTGGCGAAGCGCGCGGGGGCGGAGGGCCAGCTGCAGCCCGCGCTGGCGCTGCTGCAGTCCCCGGCCCTGCGGCCGGCGGCAGCCCGGCCTTCTGCAGATGGGTATGCAAACTTCCTTGGTTTCCTTTTGACTTCTCCTTAACCCAACTCCAAAGTGGGAAGGAGCTCAGGTGAACACGTCCAACGGGAATTGTGGGAAGGAGCTGGAGGGTGAACACGGCGAATCGAGCCCCAGGCGAAACGCCTTCAATCGCAGTGGGAAGGAGCTCTCAGGGGATGAACGCGGCCCCAAGCGGAACTAAAAAGACTTGGCAGATGTTTGAGCCACGAAGGTTTACAGCCTTGAGAAGCTTTCTGGAGGAAGACCAACTCTCAAAACCAAAGCAAACCCTCGGATTTGCTTATGTAGACTGCAATGCGTGTGAAACTTTCTGTATGTCAAAGCATGCACATTGAGCGGGGAGGCAGGCATCAGCAAAGTGACAGAATAATTCTGCCCGAGGCGCTTGTGCTGCTCGAGCTGTTGCGAGCAGAAGGCCTGAAGTCGACATGCTTGAGGGTGTTGATGGCAACAGGACAAAAAGAGGAACTTGGGCTTTGTGCTGATGGGGCCTGGCAAACAGAGTATGTGCAACAGCAGTGCAGTGGAAGAAGGTGAAGCGAGCCTCACACTCAACATGTGGCCGTGGGTCAACATCAATGGTACCATTTTGGTTGGTAGGTGCACCACCCATTTTAGAACCTATATTAGTGGGGAGTGGGATGTTCACTGGGGGTACGATTTGGCTTTTTGCAACAGCCCTTTGATGCTCAGCCGCAGGCCAGCAGAAGTTTGAAGGCTTCATCGACCGCGCAGTGCAGCAGATGGAGGAGGGCCAACTGGAGACATGGCCAGAAATGGACGAGAGGTTGGCATGGCGGCACAAGTTGCCAAGGAGCTATGTTCACTTTGTTTGATAGTTGTTCCATTTGATCTCATCTCACTGATATGCGTTGTTTGCGGACTTTCTGACTTGACTAGCTGTTGCAATATTTGCTTCTCAGTGCAATCGAGCTCAAGTCAATGCAGTGCCAGAGAGTAGCCACACAGTAATTCAACATGTTGCAAACAAGCCACTGGATATTATCCGCTTGCTCCATGGCGCCTTTAGTAAGAGATCAAACCAGGCATGCACCATGGCCAAAAAACGCAAAGTGTCTAGGAGTACAAATACACAAACCATGGCAGGAAGCATCCAGATACGCGCAACAAATGGATTGGCGAGCTCCCTTCAACTGCCACTCGGAGTGGTCTCAAAGCATACTCCGGAGAGCAGGAACGCCTTGCGCCGGAAGGGGCAAGCACTGAGCGGACCAGTTTGAGACAAAGCCAGGAAAGTACTGACCATGTGGATGTGTCTTCAAAGACGAACCGCTTTTTGGATAGCTTTAAAGACGAACCAAGAGGAATTGTGCCACTTGGCAGGGTCCCGCGTTGTCAGAGAGCCATGTTCGGTCAAGATGTCCAGCTGGGACACGGCGGGACTACTATGTGTTTTGTTTTTTCCTTTTTCGCAAACATTTTTTTTTTTTAAAGCGCGGGCAACACCTTATTTTTCTGCGGCCCAATATGGAGGGGTCACTTCCCCATTTATTTCAGCGCCCTAAAGGACACCGACACCCCGGTGTGGGGTTCCACCAGGTTCCATATCCAAACCCCTCACTGAGGATTGGCCCGCCATGACCGCCGCTGCACCCCGCTTGGCACCGCACGGTCAGCGTGCGGAGCAAGCGCTGAGGTTGCTGACGCTGGGCCACTTGGCCAGCACGGCCGTCCGAGCACGCGGACAAGCTCTCAACATGAGCCACAATCAAAACCCGGGTAGATGAAGGTTAGTAAGGAGCAGTCCCAGCCAGAAGTAGTTGCGGCCGCCTTCTTAAGTCTTTACATGGTTCTGGGTAGTCCATTTTAATACCAGGTTTTGACTCACATGCGCATGAAGGGTTCCATGATTTGATTGTCCCCAGTGGACTGAATCTCATGTTGTTTTCCAACGAAGGACCCCATGGAGTTGAGTCCAAAATAGCAAGAGCCCAGAGAGTCACACTGCATCACCCTGCGGCACCACTGCGACGGCGCAGCACCCTGCTCCAGCACCCGAAACTGCATCACCCCCAGCACCCTGGTCTCTAAATGGAAAGCACCTCCCCTGGTTTTGAGAAATGGTGTGTACATGTGCATGCCCTGATTTCGCTCAAACAGTAGTAGTTATTTTTGATGCTTGGCAAGTGTTTGGTCAATTGAATGCAATTGCAGGACGATCATTTCAAATCCGTGCAGCTGACAATGTTCGGCATTCAATTTGTTTGAAATGTCAGAAGAAGCGCACTTACATAGCACTCGCATAGCCCAAATCACTGTACAGAGACTCTTTGCTGTCCAGGTGCTACTAACCCAATGTCTATGGCTTTAGATCCTGCATAGATCTAGGGAGAGGAGGTGGAATGGGTCACTTGCACTGGGGCAAAACTAGGCCAGGGAAGTCCATGAGCCCACACCGCGTCCAGCGTGCATCTTTGATTCTTCGTGCAGCCAAACATATTGAAAGTAATTGTAAACGCTTCGCGTTCGCGCTGCCCGCCTCGGCCTAGTTTGAGGGCAGGGTCAGGAACACCGAAATCCAGTGTTGGGAAGGTCCGAATCCTACTGAAAGCTTGTGACCGCACCAGTTCGCCCGTGCTAGTTCGATGTTCGGAAGCCGTCCTGCTCGGAAGGTTTGAAATCCAAAACCAAGACTATCTCAGCTGCTCAGTGCCCTTGGAAAATAAAGGACCTCTTTCTGGGGATGAGCATGATAGGGAACAATAATTGGTGTCACTGAACAACCAAGCTGGGGGCCGGCCTAGTGGCTGGCACGCTCTGAGATGCGCCGGGGCCTGGGCTGGGCAGGCTGGGCTGAGGTGGGTTGCTGGTTGGGCTGGGCCCAGCCACGAGGCTGGGTGGGTTGCTGGCTGCCGGGCAGCCGGACTACGCTGCTGGTTGCGCCTGGGACTTGGGCTGGCGGGCTGGGCTGAGCTGTGCTTGGGCGGGTTGCTGGATGGGCAAGGCCTGTTTCATACACACGTGGGCCTGAGGCTGGGTGGCGAGTTGCTGGCTGACCTGGGACACGTAAGACACGCCAGCAGGCGGGCTGAGGGACTGGGCCTGAGGCTAGTCTCAGGCTGGCATACCTTGAGACCAGTCTCAGACTGCGCCGAAGGGGCTGGGCCTGCCCAGCCAAGTCCAAGGCACAACCAGCAGCGTAGTCCGGCTGCCCGGCAGCCAGCAACCCACCCATGGCTTTGCAGCCTTGTGGCTGGGACTAGCTTCAGGCCCAGCCCAACCAGCAACCCACCTCAGCCCAGCCTGCCCAGCCCAGGCCCCGGCGCATCTCACAGCATGCCAGCCACCAGGCCGGCCCCCAGCTCCAGCTGTCTGTTGTCTGAGACTGGTCTCAAGAGCTACAAAGCCTGTCTGACGTGGTCCAGCCCCTCAGTCCGGCTGCCCAAGCAGCTCAGCCAGCCTTGACCTCCTGCTTGCGTCTGGCCCCTGGGCTGAGCTGCTTGGGACTGAGGGGCTGGGGCACGTCAGACTTAGTAGCTGGCATAGCTTGAGACCAGTCTTGTACACACGTGAGACTGGTCGTTGGCCTGACTGAGTCTCAGACACGTTAGACAAACCTGACCTTGGCACGCTGGGCTGAGCCTGTTGGTGGGCCTGGGCTGGGCAGGCTGGGCTGGGCTTGCTGGATGACTTGGGGCCGTGCGGCTAGGCCTGTTTCAGACAAACTTGGCTGGGCTGACAGCCTGGCCAGCAGGCGGGTTGCTGCAGGCCTGGCCAGCAGGAGGTCAGGACAAAAAAGTTTTCGCAATTGTCAGCGCATTTTCAACAAAAATGGACCCATGGAGCTGGACGCCGACGAACCCCGAAAATTTCAAGGCCCGCCGGACAGGATTTTGGGCCAGCGGGGGGGGGGGGCGGGCCGGCAAAATTTTGGTCGGAGGGGGTTTGGGGCCGAGGCGAAGTACTCCGTAGGTTGGCTGCCAAAAGCACAGGATTGAAGTTGTCGGGACCCGTGTCTGGACCATGTAGCTTTTCGCAGAATGGGCTGTGGTTCAACACAAGACTCCCAGCTCCGTCAACGCGGCAACCCCATTCTGTACCATCGTTGGAAGGCAGCGCGCGAAACCATGCCATCAGTTTGCCCGTTGAGATGTGTTTGCTGCTATCGAGGTAACAACTTGGCGGAGGAAGTGATAGTGAACGAAGGTGGCTCGCCTGAATCCGTTGGGCAGATGCAGTGCCTGGTAGTTGCAAGCAGCGTGCCAAGCTACACGGCTTTGCGGCACAAGTTTGCGGAAGTATGCCTGCCATCCCAGACCAAACACAGGCATGGAACGATAGGGCCCTATTCCCATCCATGTTTGTCGAAGCGGCTTCAAGGAGCTAGAGCGGCTGGCAGCCAGCGCCTGTCCAAGCCAAGAGTATTCATTCATTGTATTCGTGTAAGATGGCCGATCATTTTCCAAGACAAAGACTAGGGTTCGTGGAAGGTCCACGACAAACACGGTGTTGTTTTTCTTATGGGAAATGGCTCCAACATCCAACAGCCAACACACATATACACAGGTTTTAAGGTTTTAATGGAAATTGCCGACATTCAACCCGGCCAACATCGCCAGCCAACGCACGTTCTAGGGGTTGATTCCTCTCGCATTCTTTTCAGCCATCGTTCTTTGCAAAAACCGATCGCCATTTCCTCGGGATTTTGGTGGTTTTCTAGAAAGAAGGATCCCTGGAAAGACACCCAGCATAGCCACCGCCAACAGGACAAGCACGGTTGTTTTTTTGTGGGAAATTGCCGACATCCAACAGCCAACATCGCCCAGCCAACGCACATCGCAGGTTCCTCGTCCCTGAGCTTCAAGGGCCTCTGGGCCGGGCAGCAGCTCTCTGGCCGGCTGCGCCGGAGCCACGGAGACCAGGGATGGGGGCAGCGCCTCGGCGTGCAGCTCGCAGACAGAAACCTGCGACAGCACCGGCGAATGTAATGTTAACCACGTGGTTAATAAACCCCTGGTTGATTAATAGGGGTCCCCTTTTAGTGTGGATTCAGACCGCGTTTGGAGGGAACACCCCCCTTAACAATGGGTTTAGGGTTTATTAATCCCGGGTCAACCTTGGGGGTTACGTGGGGATCCCAAGCCAAACGAATTCGTGGAACCCGTTTCTTGAGTCAAGCCTTTGCGTTTGCGCTTTGAAACGTTATGGGGGTGACTGAGACACCAGGGCCGATGAATTAACCTTTCCAGAAGCGGAGCTTTTCTGAGGCCGCCCTTTGCATTGAATTGGTGTAGTTTCACAGCATTTTTGCCGTGCTTGAGCACAGCAGTTCTTGCTGGTTGATGCAGTTTTCTTGATGGAGAGACATCGACTGAACAACCATGGGTTTTTATTGGCGGTCCTTGACAGATCTTGACAGGTCCCATGTCCATCTGCTCTTTTGCCAGGTGGGCATCCTTCTTCCTGGAAGATGCTCCTGATGCTTTGCTTGGAAGCAGATTGGTGGCATGCCGCCAAGCAGCAGGGAGGCGATCAAGGTGGCGCGTGTGTGTCGTTTGCGCTTTCTTTCTTGCTGAAGTTTCTCCGTCCCCCAGTTGCACATGCGCCAGACAGCACGACATGAGCAGCTTCTGTCATTTGAGGTTTATGTCAAGACTCTTCAGTACAGAGCTGATCTCTGACACGCGCGATGTTGATGCTCGAGCACGGTATTTGAATTTTCCGTGGGCTAAAGTTTGCTTCCCATACATTGCGGTTTGCTTGACGAAGGCACCACCAGCTTTCAGTAGACTAACATTTGGCTTCCCACGGGCGAAACCTAGCTTCCGGTAGATTGTCATGTTGCTTATGACTAAAGCCAACTTCAATTTGACTGAATTCACTTCTTGTACCTGCATTCCACGCCCTAAGGCAAGCGTGCCTCGGGCGAGACCATCTTCAACCAGAAGACTGGTGCCTCGTTTGAGTTGTTGACTTCACGTTCTGAGGAGGGGAATGTTCAGACACCGTGCAACCTTTCTTGCTTGACAGCCAATCTACTGTACTTGCTTCTTTGTGCAAAGCATAGCTGCGCGTCCAAATCTCGTTGCAACTGCTCAAAAGCATCAAGTTTGCAGTTTGGCAGCACGGTTTGCTATATTATGTCTCAGACAATGCGGCTGTTGATCGTTTGCTTAAAAGGGAGCAGCCGATTTCCAGGATGCCAAGTTGCCAAGTTGCCAAGTGCAGAGTACTGCCAAGCTGAACCAAGCATAACTACCACTAGAGGGGGTGGCAAAGGTGGAACCGATGCAAAAACTCTGCGCCGAACTTCGCACTTCGCCGCACAGCGACCAGTTGCAACCCCGAGGCGAGCCCTCCTTCCAGGCAGGCGACACGCTGTTCTTCGCCACCGCCGATCGGGCGGCCCTGCTCGACGCCTGGCGCTTTGTGTGGTTCTCATGCGCTGAAGCGTACTTTTTGGCTTTTCGCACCTTGAACATTGGAGTCGCTGCCTTTGAACTTGTTTTGCTATCTTGTTTCGCTTGGGAGGGGCCTGGAATCCTGGCGCTCTGCCTTGGTGCACTTGGCAGATTGGTGAAACTGGCTGCGTTTCTTCAGGAGATGGCCACTTATGACCAGCTTCCGGAGTTCGGCGTGGAACTTGCTCGCCTGCTGCGTGACGGCGAAGACGAGAAAGGAGCCTGGGGACTGAGTTTACGCTCTGATGATGGCAGGGTTGTTCTTCGGCCCCCCAACATTTGGAGGCATTTCAGCATGCAGACTTGCGTGTGTCAAACAATACCTCCCTGGAATGTTTGCCAAGCGTTTACCTGCTTGCTGTGTCGCTTGATGTAGTTCGAATGGTCTGTGCGCTGCACATGGGCATGCGACAAGCTTGTATGTTTCACGTTTCACGCTCCCTGCCGTACGCATGTTCTTTGCGGCGCTAGGAATCATGGCACCTCCGGAGATGCTGCAAGCGGCCAAGTTTGTGAACGAGATTCGAGACCTGAATGAAGCAGAGCAGGCGACTGCAAGACGGAGTTTGGAAAGAGAGCCGTGCGTAGACCATATCTTGGTCCATCCCTGAATGTATATCCTCGTCCCCGTGAGCAATCTGTAGGCCTACGTTAGCGCTTGCAGTTCCAGGCAAGGCTCACTTAGGCCATGAAAGAAGACGGAAGGCTTGCAGCTTTTGTCAAGGAGTATTTGGCTTGGTTGATTCGTTTTGCTTGTGTTGGGTGCCATGGCTATAGCTTGCCCTACATTTGAGCCTGCTTTGTCAAGTGCTGTGAGATCTCAAGATGAATTGTTTGTTTTTGGGAGAACCCCTTTATAAAGGGGAGCCAAAAACATATTTTGCGGTGCTTCCCGCTCTTTGGATTCGTGTTATCGCAGCCATGATTTCTTGCAAAAATCTGCAAGGTGACATACAAGCCCACCCAGACATGCGCCTCCTCCCCCTGCGCAGCTGCGGCAGGATATGTGCTCCCCCTCTGCGTGCGACGCCACACTTCCCGTCGAAAGATTTCCGGCCTCTATTTGAACCTCGTTTGGCAGGGTATGGCAACTGTTGGCGTTTGTTTTGAGGGTATTCGTGTGAAAGGGAAACTTGAAAGAAACCACCACTTCTATAAGAATATGGCGACAACCCATACGCATGTTGAAATCAACGAGCTCCGACACTTTGCCAACCTCTTCCCGCCCTTTGCCGACTCTCCACGCAAGACGTCGGAGCCTTTCCAGGCCGAGCGGCGACTGCGGCGCTTCGAGCAGCGCGGGACTTTGGAGCGCCACCGTCTTTTGCGGAGGGACCGTGACTTCCCCCGAAATGTAAGTAGATCAGTGCATTTTGCTTGGATGTTAGGACTAACTTTTTGGCAACTAAAGGGGTTTTCCATTAAACCACTAAAAGTTAAAGTTTTAGCAGGGGAGAAGAAAGCAACCGAGAGTAGATTGGAGCACCGTTTTGGGCCGGTAGTTGTTGGTACAGGTGAGCCATGGCACCAAGTACTCCGTGCCTATGGTTTTTTGGGACGCAGCTCAGATGCTTGGAATCAAGCGCGAGCCACATCCTTTCAACCATATTAGTTGCAAAGATACAAGTACCGTGTCTTTTGAGAAGCTTGTTCATGTTTTAAAACCCGAGTCGGACAATGCAGAAATAATGAAAGATGCCGAAAGTTAGTTTCATTGAGGTACTGTTTTGCCCGGCTCGCAGGTTGGGAGGCTTGAAGGGAGGTACGTTTTAATTCTTGAAATTTGCGGAGCCATGCTGCGCTGCTTGCTGTCGGCGCTCCTGGCATCGGCGAGAGCCGGATGTGTCGTGGACAAGCCCGACTGCTACGTAGATGCCGAGTCCCGCATCCTGGGGCGCGACAATGTGGCGCTTGGCGCCATTACCCCGGAATACTGCGCCCAGCTCTGCGCCAACGGCAAGTTCCAACTGGCCGGCACCGAGAATGGCAACGAGTGCTACTGCGGGGACAAGTTGAACACTGAACCAAGGAGCATAGGTGTAATAGATGGCCCTGGTGAATGGAATAAAACCATCTAAACATGGCTTTTTCCGCCAAAATTCAGGGAAACCACCATTTACAAGGCAATGTTCAGGTGTATAACTGTATACTGTAAGGATCCCTGAACCAGTGCCTTCTACTTTTACCAAACACAACCTAAAAGGGACACCTATAACCCAGGAGCTCCAGCTCTTGCCGCTCGAAGTGCAACGGGGATAGCTCGAAGACCTGCGGCGGTTTCTGGGCGGTCTCAGTCTCCAAGGTGCAGTGTTCAGGTACCCCGGAACCGCCTCCAAAGGAGGACCCGGAGATGGTGAACCCGTGCTGGGGCAAGTTCGCCAAGTTCCCCTTCTGCAACTTGACCCATGCTCTCAAATGGCTGTGGGTCAAAAATAGGGTAACCCCAAAATGGAACCCTGGTAAGTGAAAAAAGGACCAAAACAGGCGGTCCGCTGGTGGTTTAATTTTGACCCATACCCAAATAGCATTCGCCTGATTTGATCCTCGTTGTTTGAGAGACATGATGCTGTTTCTGATATGTAGCACCGCAGGCTTGTTCACTCAGTAACGTTTACAAGCCAGTCTCCCAATTGAACCAGCTTCCTCTCCACCAAATTAGAACATGCTTTGTCTTTCTGAATCAATGGGAGTTAGGTAAGGAAGTTGAATCTATGTTTGATTTTTTCTTGAAACCGTCGATGTGGCAAACATGTTGGGCCCAGGCAGGCACGGATAGCTTTCTACCTTGACTTCTTGACTGCCCCTAGTTCCACCATATTTGAACACTGGTTGGGCGAATTTGATAGGTCTGGAGGCTGTGCTTTCACTACCAGGTGCCCTTTCATGTTTTGTTTTTTCATGTTCTGAATAAGAATGCTAACGACTCGTATTAGATTCTATGCTGTGTTCCAACATAGGTCTGGAGGATGTGCATTGATTCCCAGCTGCTCTTCCATGTTTATATACATTGTCTGAATTCTCTGCTCGCATTAGCTTTGGTGCATGTTGCTTGGATGTTAGGGCAAAACACTTTTTGCCAACTAATATAACTAATGGGTTTTCCATGAAACCACAAAAAGTTAAACACTTTTAGCAGGGGAGCAGAGAACAACCGAGTTAGATCCTATATTCCAGGGAGCCGCCGCGAACGAACTCGAGGCAACGCCACGCTGCCCTTGGACGATCGCGTGGCCGACGCCGTGGGCCGCATGACGCTGGCGGAGAAGATCGGGGCGCTGGGCACCAACACGCCGGCCATCCCTTCCTTGGGCCTGCCCAGGCGGACGATCCCACACAAACGACGGCTGCCAGGAGGTGTTTTTCTTCTTTTTTTTCTCCGCGAGGGACAACTTACTTTTTGGTTGGGTGCCATAGGTTTCCCAGGGGTTTCCAAAAAAATCCAAATGGCTTTCTATGATATTTGATTATTTCTTGATGGACACTTTGTGTGGTGCTTCTGACCATGCCTCTCTATGGGTAACACGCTTTCTGAACTTTCTGACCAGGACCCCCCCCAAAAAGAAAACGGCCTCCAGGAGATTTATTTTGTTTGGTGCTTCTGATTGTGCCCCTCTCTCTATGGGTACTTTGTTTGGTGCTTCTGAACTTTCTGAACTTTCTGACCATGCCAAGCTTCGGACCAAAAACGACGGCTCCCAGGAGATGTCTCGATGGAAACTTCTTGTTTGGTGCCATAGGTTTCCCGTGGGTTTCCCATGCGTTTCCCACGGGTTTCCCATATCTCTCCAAAGTTTCCCACCCTTCTGAGCTTGACCAAGCTTGAAATCATGGCTTTGATTGGAAGACAGGAAGGGTGGTCAGAACAGCCTGGTTCGTGAAGATGAGCTAAGTTGAATGCTTGGATGAATCTGCTTGTCTCACCTAAGACTGGCAAAGCTTCGAACTCCTGACAAAGAAATTGGTCTAGACAGTCTAGGCACATGTGACGACCCTGAAGGTACAATTGGTGGTCCGAAGCTTCCTCTGGAGTGGCATCTGCCAGGAACACCGAAACCACCAAGTTTCCCTTTCCCATCACGACAGGCATGAGTTTCAATCGAACTCTCTGGAAGCTGGTTGGGCGCCAGATTGGTCGGGAAGCCCGTGCCGCCATGAATGCGGGCAACGCTTATTCCACCTTCTGGGCGCCCGTCATCAATCTTGCCAGAGAGCCTAAGCTTTCAAGAAAGGCGACCTGAATATTTCTAGCTCCAAAATAGCGGAACCCCAATATGCATTAAATGGATAGTGTCCTGTTTTTCCTGGAATGAACCACTCCCATGGGGGCATTAAATCACATGCCGGCTTTGTTGTCGGCTCGCCAGATGCGCTTGGAGCCAAGGAGCCGCGCTGGGGCCGAAATATTGAAACGCCAGGCGCGTGCCCGGCCCAGAAAAGTTGGAATTGGGGGAGGCGTCTCCAGGATAATCGGGGGCTATATTCCCGACAAGCTTTTCAAAACCTCGGCAAGGAACCGGCAGGATCCCCCAATTCCATGGGTATGGGTCAAAATAGAGCCAAACGGGGGGACTGCAGGTTGTTGTCCTTTCCATTTAACAGGGCTCCATTTGTGGTACCTATTTTGACCCACAGCCCCATTTGTAGTGACATTTCCCTTTTCTGAGGCTTTCTGGAATTGGGGTACCCAGAAGGTAAGGGGATACCAGGCGTCATGCACTCGGAGTTCTGGGATCTGAGAGGAAAGCTGATGGTTTAACGGGACTTGTAGCATATCCTGTGCAAGTCGGCATGGAACCCCAACAAGCGGTCCGTCAAAGGAGCTTCTCTTCCAAAGGTGGGTGTTGGGTTGTATGTTTATTGGCAGAGGAGTATGTGACAGTATGTGTCAATGCAGCTGCCAGAAGAACTAACCAGTGATCCTCGGCAAAAGCAACTTGAGCCACATTCAAAGCCCGGGTAGATGGAGGTTGCTAAGGGACAATCCCAACCATAAATAGCTGCGGCCGCCTTCTTAATTCCTTACATGGTTCTGGGTAGACCATTTGAATACAGGGTTTTGATTATGACTCACTTTTCGCTCCAGACATACCGCAGCTGGGCAGGCGAGGATCCATACGTCACAAGCGAGTATGCAGAGAATTTTGTCAAGGGCTTTCAGGAGGCACCAGAGGATCCGTACCACATCCAGGCGCCCGGTGGACGGTATGGAAGTCCAAGCCGTGCAAATCACAGATGTCGACACAATCTGCCCCAAGACACACACACACACAACACGCGTATATATATATATATATATGTTCCACACACACACACACACCTCTCTCCTTCGGTCACAAGCCATTGCCCCTTTGCGCTAATGTGGAGGCTTGTGACATCCAAGAGTCTGGAAAGATCTTGCTTCATTTGACCCCTGCTTTGTTCGTTCCATCAGCACGGTTTCTAAAGAACCGTTGGTTTGGGCAAGTGACATCGGTGAAGGGGATCTCCGCAGGCCTCCGCCTGCTGCAAGCACTACGTGGCCAACGAAATGGAATCCACCACAGAGAAGGACGGAGAGCATCATGACCGGAACCATGTCGAGTCTTAGCAGCAGCTGCCTCGAGTAACCAGGCCCCAAAACATCTTTGCTGCACCATTTGAGATGCTTGGAGATGCTTGGAGAGTGTTGCAGATGACTCAAGGCGCGACGATAACCGGGGTTGAAAGCTTAAAAGCCAAGGATTCCAACGTGACCATGCAGGATCTGGTGGATTCATACATGCGCCCTTTCCAGGCTTGCGTGGAGAAAGGCCGAGTTACCTCCCTGATGTGCAGCTACAACGCCGTCAACGGTGTCCCCTCCTGTGCCAATGACTGGCTGCTCCAGACGGTGGCCCGCGACAACTGGGGCTTTGACGGCTACATCACCAGCGACTGCGATGCGGATGAGGATGTTTACGCGTCTCATCACTACACCGCCACTCCAGAAGAAGCTGTGAAAGCAGTTCTGCACGCAGGAACCGATATCGACTGCACCTCCTTCGTTCCCAAATATGCCCAGTCTGCGCTGGACAAGGGCTTGATCTCTGAGGCCGACATTGATGCGCGCCTGAAGATGCTCTTCCGCGTTCGCATGCGCCTGTCCCACTTTGACCCTCGGGGTCCCCTGGACGACATCCCCAGCAGCAGCATTTGCAGCGACTACGCCATCCAGCTGTCGGAGGATGCGGTGCGCCAGAGCGCCACACTGCTGAAGAACCTTTGTTGCATTTTGCTTGGAGGTTGGACTTTAACTTTTTGCCAACCAATGGGTTTTCCATTAAACCACCAAAAGCTAAAATCTTTTAGCAGGGCTCCTTAAAAGATACGGTTTGCCCATTTGAAACATGGCTTTTTCCACCAAAATAAAGGGAAACCACCATTTACAAGGCAATGTTCAGGTGTAGAATAAGGATCCCAGCTTTAGCAGGGGAGCAGAAAGCAACCGAGGAACGAGAAGACTCTGCCTTTGGATGCCTCCAAGGTGGGCACCGTGGCGATCATCGGGCCCAACTACAACCTCTCCAAGAGCGATGCAGGCTATTACGGCCCGAGCCACCCCTGCGGTGATCGCTTCTACACCCTGGTGGATGCGGTCAGTCGGAATGGCCAGGTTCCTTGGAGGAAACAGCAGGTGGGTTCAATGGTGCTGCCAATGGCTTCATACATGAGTTAAGCCCTTGTGTCCAAATATACTCCCATGATAACTGTCCGTTGCGACCTTGTTGTTGCCACTGCATCATTTCATCATGTTTCATGCAAGATGCGTGACTGTTTTGGCCAAGTAAAAGGTATATTCCATGATGGTCATAGGCATTTCCAGGGGGACCCCTCCAAGTAGTTTCCTTCTGGTTTCCCTCTGAGACATTCAACTGGGGACCCTCAATTTTTGGACGCCTTCTCATGGCTTGCGGTCCGGCAGACAGGCAGTTGGCATCTTAGGTGAAGACCGTCAGCGTTGCTGGGGTGCCCAACGTCCTGTCAGAGGACCAAAGTGGCATTCCAGCAGCCGTGGAGGCGGCCAAGAAGGCAGACACAGTGCGGCTCGGCTCGGTTTTTTTTGCATGCGCGGGTCGATATTAACTAAGTCTCCTCTATAGGTTTAGTGATGTTATGCGCGGGTCCTTTATTTCCCCCCCAACATCACCCCTTTGGGTCGATATGAACTAAGTCTCCTCTATAGGCGGGGCGATGTTCAAGGGGGAGATATGGGAACCTGTGCATTTTTCACCAGCAATAGTCGGCATTCCATGTCCGTATAACGTATTTTTTCTGTCCAGGAGGAAACCAAAGGGAAATCAAAAGCAAACCAAATGCAAACCAAAAACGAAGCCAAAAGGAACCCAAAGGGAAACCAAAAAGAAAACGAAGCCAAAACAAAACCGAAGATGCAGGTTCTTACGAGCTTGACATCTCATGCCCCACAACCGCTTGATTTCGTCCCAAAGGGAACCCTGGCCCCTGCTAATATTACCTATCGCTTCAAACTAACAAACTAACAGCATGAACTTGTCAATACATAATCTACAGGGATCCATATATATATATAGAGAGAGAGAGAGTCTTTAAGCAAGACACATCAACACAATACGGGGTCATGTGCACTTGAAGACAAAAGCTTTGACTTCCAAGCAACGCATCGCGAGGGGTGTCCCCTGAAAAGAGAACTGTGCCCTTAATAGGTTCACTTGCGGAATCCAGGATCAAGCATCCTTTCGCATCCCCAGCATCACCACAAGGGGCTATATGTTTGCTCGGGATGTTTACTAATTGACCGCGGTAGGTAAACAACAAGTAGCTGAAGCGCATTTCCTTTACCAAACTCAGGTGATGCTAGGCATGTCGGGCGCTGGTCTAGTATACCTCACTCAGGAAGTGTCCACAATCCTCAGAGTTTTACCTCCAAACTCTCAAAATGGTTTCATTTGATTTTCTAGCACACTTGTCACGGGACAGTTTTCATTCAGTTGCCTCCATTCTGATGTGTCTTAAGACTCGGGCTGCGGAACGATCTTTGGGGTCCTTGTCAGGCTTCTGGCGGTTGGCACCGATCTCACTTGGTCAGAAGAAGGCCACGATGCCAAGAGCATCTCCTTCACTGCAGCGCAGGCAGCTCTCATTGAGAAAGCCCTTCAGCAGCAAAAAGAGTCGGTTCCACCTGAACCCACGCATATCATGAGTTGAACATCTGGCTTGGGATGGTTGGGGATGAGTTTGTTCAGCCGTCACCCTTGAGGAAACAACCTGAGAGTTGCATGCGGGCCAGTATCCTTCACTTGTCGATGGTTTTGTCTATGTTAATTCCCTGCTGCAAGTCGCAAGGTTGCAGCTGCTGCCAAGAAGCCTGTGGTGGTGGTTACCATGACTGCAACGCCCTTGGACCTGTCTGCGGTGCTGGGCAATTCCAAGGCGGGGAGGCCTTTTCGGACTGACGGTCTTGTGGCAGTGACACAGACCCTTCGCGGTCCGATGTGGTCCGAGGTGCTGCAATCAAGGCCTGATATTTGGCGCTGCCTTGCCCTTTAAATCTTTGCCTTCGTTACACTGTTTTGACCCCTTGGAGCAGATTGTTGCATGGTTCTGTTTCGCCTGGCCTTTGCCTTAAGAGTAGCGCAACACACCGTTGGACTCCTCTTGCGTGGGCCTTCAATGCGTGACCATTGAAAGCAGCAGCTACTCTTACAACATACGTGTAGACCACTGGTGTAGACATGTTCGCAGCTGGAACTGCGTTATTGCCAGATGATGGCTCTTTGACAGTTGTGCGTCGTGGAAAGTGCATCCCGACGTTATGTCATATGTTGTTGTGACTGCACGTCAGTGGCACTGCTACGTGATGTTCTGGGCCACTGTGTCGTCAAACAACATACGAGTTCATCGCAATACCAGCGACAATGCAAGGCCAGCAGCAACGTGGTCTTGGGGCACTGCACATCATGTCATTTGTGGTAATGCTTGGTTGGGGTCCATTGTCATGGTGAAGCAATCTCACATTGCATTGTAACTTGTCTGATTCAATCTGTTTGCCCTGCTTAAACTTCATGGGTCTTTTGCTTTCGTTGCATGGGCATCCTTTTGGGTCAGTTGATGGCTTTGGTTTCAATTCAGTGTGGCTCCAAGCATTTGCCAGTGGCAACAGTTTTTCCAAGCAGACGCCTAGCTAGTTTTTCCTATTTGGCTGCGGGTCAAAACCGTTTTGGGATCCCATTTTTGGGTAAGTGAATTCACCAGAACCTATTTTAGTGGTTGGATTGGGATGTTCTCTGGGGCTAACCGGGCTTTTGGATTTTGACCCATGGCCATTTCCCTTGAGGTACGCCTACATACCCTCCCTTCCGCTAGCATAGCACCCGTGGGAGGGTACCTGAAAGACAAGATACCTGTTGTAGGGACTCCCTCAGGTGCCATGGTAGTTGGAGAGAGAGTAGTTTTTCCTCTTTCCATTTGACCCAAAGCCATTTGGTTATGGGTCAACTTACCAGGGTTCAATTTTGGGGTTACCCAATTTTTGACCCACAGCCAAATGTCCATCTATTTGCAGAACGTATTTTAGTGTTGGATTGGTATGTTCACTTGGGGGACTGTATTTGGATTTTGACCCACAGCCATTTGACCCCTCGAGGTGGGTGCCATCCTACACTTGGGCCAGCCCAGCGTGGCCGTGAAGGGCGTGGCTCCGCTGCTCTACGGCGAGAGCTCCCCGGCGGGCCGAGCCATCCAGACGGTCTACGAGCGCACGGGCTGCAAGTTGAAGGGTGGGTGTGAAGGTTGAAGCTCAGATTCCCAATAAGATCCACAAGGCGTGCGGAAAAAACAACAGAACAATAAGATCCATAAGGCGTGCGGAAAAAGAAAGAAAGCAAAAATAGAAGGCGACGTCAGGAGAAAGTAGCCAGCCCAATGCTGATTTCATGAAGACGCACAAATCAAATGGCTGTGGGTCAAAAATAGGCACCCAGAATGGAACCCTGCTAAATGCATTTAAAGACCAAAACCTGTGGTCCCCTGGTGGTTTAATGTTGACCCATACCCAAATCATGAGCTGAGGCACTCCTACCAGGACCAGATCTCGATTTTTGACTTCAACATGCGCCCGGGCCCATCTGATTTTGCTCGCCCAGACTGCACCGAGGCAGCGAGCAAATGCCCCAAGGGCACCAACCCTGGGAGGACCGTTGCGTACCCCGTAGGTTTCGTGACCAGAGTTTCTTGCAATTCTGCAGGCAATCTGCCAAGCGGAGTCCTGATGAAACAGCCAATCAGCCAAGGCAAGATAATCTAAGATATGATGCTTTGCTTTTTACTCAAGTATGCTTCTTTTGCCATTCTGCTGTGCATGAAGCAAGGTTGTTTTTTGTTGGCAACCACTAGGATTGAAATAACCAAGCGCATGGTGCATCGAGATCTTGACTTAACGTGAGGACTTACCGGTTCTACACCGGCAAGGCCGTGGTGCCTTTCGGCTTCGGGCTGTCTTACACGAGCTTCTCGTACTCCCTGGTCTCCCAGCCCAGCTATGTGTCTCTGGTGCCCTTAGCGGAGCTGCTGCGCCGGGAGGCCTCGCAGGTCTTTCCGCGCCTGGAGGCGCAGAATCAGCTGGGCACGGGCTGGCGGCAGCGCGTCACGTACGCGGTGCGGGTGAGCAACTAGGTCCTCCAGTAGTTTGAGGTTAGAATAAGGGTGCCCGATTTTTCTTCAGTTTTGTCTATTTTAGTAGGGGAACCCTCCCAACCAAAAAAAAGGTGAGAAAGGGTACCTAGCTGGGGGACCTAGGCAACACCGGGGCGAGGGACGCGGAGGACGTGGTGCTGGGGTTCCTGGTCCCCCCCGACGCCGGGCAAAATGGGACGCCTTTGAAGCAGCTGTTTGGCTTCGAGCGCGTGCACCTGAAGGCCGGGGAGGCCAAGACCGTTTGGCTCTACCCGGCCATGATGGACTTTGCGGGCGTCACCAGAGAGGGGAAGTTCCAGGCCCGGGCGGGCCGCTACAAAGTGCAATTCGGGCTGAGGGAGACCAGCGGGTTGGGCATGGGCTTTGTGGAAACTGAGCTGGATGCGGGAGAGATCACCTACGTTTGAAGGCGTTTGCTGTGAGCCAAGCTACCGGCACAGTGGCGATTGGCACGGATGTCGCCACTTTTGCAATGGCGACCACCGATTATGTGTGCGAGAGGCTGGAAAATGAGCTTCTTTTCCCAAGCTTGCGCCCTGTTTTTGCAGAGCTTCGCCTTCCGCCCATCAACTCAGTGATCATTTGTTGGCAACGAGGACTGCAAAGCGACAGATATTGGACGCAGGGAGGGCTGCAAGGGTTTCCACTGACCCACCACACATGTTGCGCTCAGGTCGCCTCTTGCTCGACGCCTGCATGAGAAGCTTCTGCAGGATGAGGTTTGGGAGCAGCTTTGGCAAGCTGCCAAGCCCAAGCTACCGGCACTCTACCAGGCGACTCGTGTATTGCAAGCATTGAGAGTACTGGATATCACTGCTCATGAGAGCGACGCATGGAGGTGTTACCGCTTCTTCATCTGCTGTTTACGGCTTCTCGTACCATTGCAAGCATTGATAGTAATGGATATGAAACTATTATTCACGAGAGAGCAACTTGTTTTCAACCTGGGACTTCCCAGTTTTCTGCAGCAAGCCACTTACTATTCATGACTGACTGCTTGGTTTGACGAGGAACAGTAGCACCAGTCAATTGTGAATGCATCACCTTGAGGGAAGCCGTGGAGTGCACAGTAGGGTTGTTGCCGGCAAAGCGCGAGCGTGCCAGCGGCAAGTGACGGTGATCAGCCAGTTTGTTCCGACTCGGCAGTTTGACGGGCCACCCAACCGATCATGCCATTCCTCCCACAGGGACGTGCCAGTTGTTTTTGTTGGAAGACGACTGTCCTCTTGGAGAGAGGGCTGAAACACTTCCATGTCGGTCGGTGGGATGGTATCCCTGTCTTGTCTGTCCATCCCGGCAGGCAGTGCGCAAGGCCATGCTGCGTGCGCGGCCAGCGCAGAAGGTGGAGCCCAGGCGGAGCGGGGAGGCATTGCCCAATTTCTTAGCGGAATCTCTGGGGTTGGACCCATATCTACCAAGGGTCCCAAAAATGTCCCAGCCCCCAGAGATACAGCTGAGAAGCGCTGGCCTTTTTGCTTTTTGGGTGAACAGTGGCTTAAAGCTGCTTGCCCAGTTGGAAGACTCAGAACAAGCAAATTCCTTGTGTTGCATTTCAACGCTCCAACATGCAGCCCGCCCGAATCTGTGCTGCGCCAGCTCCTGAATCTCGTCCTTGCTTTCTTTGTATTCCTTTGAATGTTTGGGATCTGCACACAGGCGAGTCTCTGTGGTTCGCATCAGTCTGCTCGGAGTGCCTCGGACAGCTTTACTGATATGGGAATAGGGAACGTGCTTTTTTTTTGTGGACGCAAATCCTCATGCAAATGATGTCCACCAAGGGGCTTAACCAGATAAAAAGTGTGGGCACTAAGGTCATTGGCGTGCTGGCCGCCAGGCTGCAATCATCCACTCCAGTGTCAACCTACGTAGCTGACGACCCACTTGGATTTTCAGAGTTAAAGTGGGCCACAGGTGCCTAGAACGGACCCACACGTTTTTGTTGCCTGAGTGAGTGGGCCAATCACTCTCAGGTTGTGCTCGGCGCTCTCGGCTGGGGCGCATGGCAATTCTTCCACTCCTCAGATGAGGCGGAGAAGCAAGCGAGCTGTTCTGCACTGAAACGATTTGCAGACCAAGATGCGAAAAGTCGTTCGAGCCCGTGTTCAGCCTCTAGAATAGAGTGACCTCCTTTCATGATGGTCGTCTTCCTCCACATGGATGGCATTCCGTGCAAGAAGAGTGAGGGGTCAAAGGGCAGCCCGCGCCAGGCAGACAAATTGCCGCTGTACACATTGAAGAGCACTGAGGCTGGATGTGTAGATGCATGCTCGCTCTGTGTGTTGCAGACCAGGCTGGAAAGGTTGTTCTAAGTTAGGGAGCACAGATATCTTCGCCGCCCCGACTCAAAACGTGGATTTGTCAAACACTGCAGAACCAGAGCCACAGTTTTTCGCCAAACCGAAACCCAGAAGTTACTCTTTTGAGCAAATCAACCGCCCCTGGGTGTAGGTTTACCTTGAGCTAGTCAGCAAGTGCAACCCTGAGGTGCCAGACAATGCTCCCCTCCTTGCTGGTACTCCATTGCTGCATGGCAGGCATAGAGGCATGCTGCCCACGCCGAAAGGTAGGGTGGTCCCCCGACGCCCCTTCTCAAATGTGCAGGTTTGCGTTGAGCAACCGGTTTCGCAGGGTTTTTACTCAGCAACAGCTGCGAAAGCATATTTGTTTTGTTTTTTTTGCGAATAGACTTGCTCAATTGTGCTCCGCGCGCGATCAATGCCATCATGCTCAGCGTTTCGCGTCGCAAGTGTGCCTTGCGCACGTGAGCCCTGGGCAACTCTGCTCTGTGCGAGCGTCCCCTGCGGAAGCATGCTCATCGCCAGTCTGCTAAGTCTGCGCAAGCGCCGCAGCTGCAGGTCTGCACCGGGCAACCGTGTTCCGCGCGAGCCCACTCTGTGCAAGAGCGAAAAGTTTGGAAATCCAATCAAGGGAGAGTTTCCTCTCTCGGCACGTTGTTTTGCCTATTGGTGGGAGACACGCGGACTTCGCTCAACATTCTGCCAGTTTTCCCCTGCGCTGCATCGTAGCAGCCCCCTTGCCAAGACATGTTCTCGCTGCAACTTGGTTTTGGGTCATAACCTATGCCTCCATTTTGGGGCGGATGAACAACCATGTACCACCTACTTTGATGTTCACCAGGGGTACAGGGTTTTGACCCACAGCCATGTCTTATCTTCACAATGTGTGGTGCAAGGGCACTTGTCGCCACCATCTGCAACTGCAAGATCCAATGGATACATGCAGCCACGCACAAACTGTCCTCATGTCACCGTGGTAACCGGTCGGTCATGCACGCCTTGGCCACCCCAGGTCCAGCCAATGCAGAACGGATTGTTGATGGTGTACACAGATGGATGATACACCGTAAACTTGCTTGATGTTGATTTGTTTGGGTGACATTTGCAGCGTTGGCTTCTTTCTATTTTGTGCTCGCGGATGTGTTGCAAAGCAGTGGCCGCGGCGTTGTTGGTTTTGACGCGCGACTTCAACTATAATCCGCTCTCTCTCTCTCTCTCTATCTATCAAATAATAAGTACGGTTGCCTAGTGATGCTTTATCGGGCTATGGGGTTCTGTTTCAAATTCGCAGTCGGCTCAGTAAGAAATGTAGAGGGAATCTCTCAGGCATATTTGGGTATTTGTCAATTTCAAATTGAAGGCGCAATGGACATCAGAATGTGCAAATTCATATTTCAATTTGCTCTGACAAATCAGTGTTTTGGGAGACACCCCCAACACGACAGCAGTCGGGGTCAGCGGGTCATTTTTGGGTTTAGTAGGATTTCTGTACTTTCCTAACTCTTGCTTAGCATAGGCAAATTGAGGAGGGGGGTGGATATGGGAGAACACAATACTATATATATATATGCTCACCCCCCCCCCATGATCCACATTTGGCATTGCTGCAGTGTATGGTCTCAGCTTTGGCTCCTTAATTTGAATGGCTGAAGTACTCTTAGCCCGTCTCCCAATGGAGGCTGTTAAAATAATAACAGCCATGGCAACGAGCGCCACGCCGAGCCCTATCGCTCCATCCAGATGGCCTACAAAAGTAGGTTATCTACCATGTGGCTACTTGGCCGATTTCATCGAGTCGAAAACTGCAGTTTCTTATGGGGTCCTTCTGCTGTCATTTCTGCTCTTGCCCATCTAAGGATCGGAAGTGTTCAGCTTCGAAGGCTTGCACTTCAAGATCAGCGCGAGCGAGGAGACCGTCCTCCAAGAGAATGAACTTGGCTTGATTATGAGTGAGAGGCATTTGCCATAGTTTTTTATGGGACAGTCCTTAGGACTGCTTTTACTCTCTCAGTTTTCCAAGCCGCAAGGAAAAAAAGCCTGCTGACCATGTACGCCTGAGTCTGCTTGCATATCAAGCTCATTAAGTTTCCTTGTGCTATACTGCATCCATTGCAAAGCTGGGCAACTTTCTGATATTCCAACCCCATGATCCACATTTGGTATGGCTGCAGTGTGTGGTCTCAGCTCTGGCTCCTTAGTTTGACCCCGCAGTGTGTAACTAATGGCTGAAGTACTATTAGCCCAACTCCCAATGGAGGCTATTAACATACTGCTTGCATCTCAAGCTCATCAAATTTCCGTGTACTCTGCTGCAGCCATTTCAATTTGAGGTAACTTCCTGATACTCCCTTCTGCTCCAATCATGGCATCTGTGCCTCCTCATCGTGCTGAGTCGCTGGCTCGTTCCTTCGACAACGCAAACCTGGACGGCAACTGCACATTGGAGGAAGCCATCGCCCACACCGACGGCATGAAGATCCTTTACCTGGAGAAGCCAATGGTGGTGAACAAGGAGCCCGGTTCCATTAAGCTAGGCGATTTGCCAGCTAAAATGGAAATCACCGACTCCGTGAAAAAGAAGACGCAGTTCCTCGATGTCATTGCTGACCACGAAGGGCCTATTGACTTGAATGCGGTAGAGACAATGTTCCTTCAACAACGGTATGCCGACCTACCCGAGCCCGTGCGCATGAAGGGGAACTTCCAGGCCCCCTACAACATGCAGATTTTCATCATCCCCAAGGAAGGGGGCAAGAAAGACATCATTAAGCGCATCAAATTCCTAGAAGGTGCAAAGGCCCTCCACAGCTCCATCATCTCTATGTGCCAGGGCGTTCCACTCGAGATCGACTTGCAGGGCAAGTACCGCGATGGTGGTCGAGGACTACAGTACATGCTCGAGGCTTCCAGGTCCGCTACCAGAAGCTCGTGTCTGCCGGTGCCTCGAGCAAAATGCCCAAAGAGACGGAGGACATCCGCAAGGGCTTCGCCTATATCCGTCAGTTTGGCCCGGAAGAAAACTCCGACGGGCAATTCACAGTGTGGACGGAGGAGCAGGTCAACGATCCGAACGGCCCGCTCCACAAGTGGGACAAGGGGACCATCAAGGAGTTCCTGAGGTGCCTCGCGGACCAAGGCTCTCAAGCTAATACGATCAAGGAGTGGCCTCTCACCTTCAAGAGCATCACGCCGTGGGCTTTGAACACTATCCTTGCACCGATTCTTCCTCATGTGATGTCCCACTCCGTTATCTGGATTGGCAAGTCTCAGGTGGGTAAAAGCCCGGTGTCCTACACCCTCTCATCTGTGGTGTCCGCATATTGGTTGATTCAGGAAGAGAAGGAGGGCAGCCCTTGCTTTCAGACATGCAACCACCTCGACTACTTCCGCAAGGAGAAGGGCAGGCGGACGAAACCGAGGGTGTTTGATGATGGCAACCTCAACCTGGAGCATCCCGCAGGTGTTAAGGCAGTGACGGAGGTGGACGGCGTCGACAGGAAGACAAGAATCAGCTATGCCAGATTTGCAGTAATCCCTATGACAGGACTGCAGAGCCGCCGATGGACGCCAATTCGACTCAGGACACCGTGACCTTCGAGCAGTTCTACAAGATCGTGCGCCCCTCCTTCCACAGGGACTTCGATGAAGAGGACCTTGTCGGTGTCTTCAAGCGATCCACCTTCATCGTTTTCACCGATGTGGGCATGTACGTACGTGTGCCAGGCACAGACCGCAAACCCGTTCCCCGGTATGCCTGGCCAGAGCGGGATATTGGCATGATTTCTCCATCTGCCCGACCCCTTTTGGCTGCCTACAAGCGCGGTAACCTCTCTCACTTGCCGGGAGATCATGACAAAGACATGCAGTGGAGTTTGAACTTGCTGCAGGCTGCGCTGGATGGCGAGGAGGTCCGCTATTGTGCGACCACCCGTGGGAAAGAACTGTTCTCAGGAAGGGAGTACGTCATTGAAAATCGACCAACACTCGCGGGCATTGAGGGCAAGACCAAGTACTACCTGGATGCTGGCGCTGCCGTCGACGAGCCGCCCACTAAGAAGCTTCGATCTGTGAAGTCCTCTTCCAACTTGCTCAAGGAGATCAAGAACGAGAATGCGCAGGATGCCAAAGACGAGCCGAAGGACGAGGATGAGCAGAAAACAAAAGAAGAACAGAAGGAGAACGAAGATGCGCAGGATGCCAAAGACGAGCCGAAGGACGAGGATGAGCAGAAAACAAAAGAAGAAGAGAAGGATGAGGACGTGCAGGGTATCAAAGAAGAACCAGAGGAGACGCATAAGGTGCACATCAAGCAAGAGCCAGTGGATCCCTCCTACTTTTCCAGGCCATTGAACCTGCGCCCTCTGGTGATCAACCTGTCGTCTGAGGATGCAAGTGACCCAGCCTCTGCTGCACCGGCTGCAGCTGATGCGGTGGACCCTGTGGAGAAGCTTTCTGACCCTACAGCTCCTCCAGCAGCCGATGTGGTGGATGAGACCAAGGTCCTTGTGCCTTTGCCGGCCTCTTCTCCTGATGTGGTGGACCCTATGGACGAGATTCCCGACCAGTATGACATCGAGGCATACCGAACCCTTTCCCAAGAACTCGCGGATGCCATGGACATTGACGACAACTGAGCCGCGTGTGAGCCGCACTCAGCGGATTTTGTTCTAGAAGATAGAAATATAAACCCAATAGAGACATGGAGCTTGGCTAAAAAAACATTAGGTCTCCAGTGCCATCTTGCTTGCACATGTTGCTTGGAAGCGAATCGCATTGATCGTTTACGCAGCCATCTGCTTCAATCGCCTTGATCCTTTGTAGTTGATCTTGCCCATCATGCCAAAGAAGGTCATGAAGTCCGTGAAGGCCAAGTTCCCAGATCCTAAGCGGGGGAAGTGGCGCGTGCAGCGAAGGCCTGCCTCAAAGAATCCTGCTCCGGTGCCATATGTCCGCCATGGCATGCCCACTACCAAGAACAAAGGCCACAGAGCGCGCGGCGTTCGATTTTGACTTGGGAATCTTTGACTGGACAGCGTCTCCACAAGCAGCTCCACAAGGACAAGATCCTCACAGACTGGGAAGGCAGAACTTGCCCTCGATGTGGCAACGGCGTAATGGGGCCCCTGAAGTATTACCATGACAAGAAGATTTGGGCGTACCGGTGCAAGAAGCGTGCCTGCCACAAGCAACTTCAGCCTCATGACTACCATCCCATCTTCTTCATGTCTGCTGGCAATTCTTCAACTCCACTTCAGAAGCAGGTGGCGGTCCTCTTCTGCGCGGTGGTGGGGGTCTCGAGCAATGCGGCGCACCTGCTCCTGGATATGGACCACAAGCCAGTGGAGCGCATCTACCACAACCTGGAGGTCGCTCGCTCGCAGTACGTCACCCAGAAGGAGAAGGACATTGTCTTCGGCGGGAAGTGGGAGGACGTGGAGGTGGACGAGGTCGACATTGGCAAGTTGACCGACGAGAGCGTGGCGGGAAACCTCAACACGAAATGGGAACAGTGGGGTGGACTCGTGGAGCGACGTCAAGCTGCCGGACGGGAAGAAGGTGCGTGTGAAGAGCGGCGCCCAGATCATCGACCGGTTCTGGAACACCCTTCGATCTCACCTGAAACACACGAATAGAATCCCCGGCAGTCAGGTTCTCTTGCGAAAGCTGAGATCCGCACAGTTTGAATACTGGCATCGCCGCGCTAATATGTGGGAGGTGACCGGCCAGATGCTGCAGGCACTGCACAAGCAGTGATTACCGGATATGCGCTCGAAGGAAAAAGGCAAGAAAAATGCAAGCCAGCTCGTCGGAGTGACAAACATCTGCTACTGCCTTCCCACATCCACAATTTTAAAAAAACAGTACAGCACTTTCTGCGTGCTTAAAAGTGCTGTACTGTCCCTAAAATCCAGGCCTTGGAGGCAGAAAGTGCTGTACTGTCCCTAAAAAAACCTAAAAAACCATTCCAGAAACAGTCTTGAGCACACAAACCTCCTTCTGGCAAGGATTTTTTGGTTTTTTAGGGACAGTACAGCACTTTTTTTGGTTTTTTAGGGACAGTACAGCACTTTTGAAAAACAGTCACACAAACCTCCTTCTGGCAATGTTTTGGTTTTTTAGGGACAGTACAGCACGTTTTTTGGTTTTTTAGGGACAGTACAGCACTTTTTGCATGCTGATGCTCAAAAGTGCTGTACTGTCCCTAAAAAACCCAAAACTGTCCCTAAAAAACCAAAAAAAGTGCTGTACTGTCCCTAAAAAAACAACTGTCCCTAAAAAACCAAAAAAGTGCTGTACTGTCCCTAAAAAACTAAAAAAAGTGCTGTACTGTCCCTAAAAAACCAAAAAATCCTTGCCAGAAGGAGGTTTGTGTGCCCAAGACTGGTTTTGGAATGGTTTTTTAGGTTTTTTAGGGACAGTACAGCACTTTCAGCCTCCAAAGCCTGGATTTTAGGGACAGTACAGCACTTTCTGCATGCTGCTTCCATAAGTTCCATCTGCTCCCTGCTAACTTTTTTGCCAGAAGGCTGTCCACACAAACCATCTGTAAGCATCTGCTTCAAGTTGCCTAACATCTGTCCATCAAGAATGTCGCAATCTTTGACTAATCTACTCATCAAGAATGATGCTTGTTTTTGACCCAAGTTTCCAGGATCAGAATCTGATCCTGGAACAGGTGGTCAAAAACAAGCATTTTACATGTGTTTTTCCAGTGTTTTTTGCTTGCAAGAGGCAAAATGTGGATCATGGGGGGGGGGGGTGACCATATATATATATATATATATATATCAACAGTGCATTAACAGAAGGAAGGAAGTAGTCTGTGTGATGCTTTAGATGTTTAGTCCAATCCAACAACGATTTCTTCATGCAGCCAAGGATGCCCTTCAAGGGGAAGTGACCTGGTTGGCGACATACCTGAAATAGCTAGTTGGATTTGATGAGCAGAGTGTGCAGCACTTGACCAGTGCCAAGCAGCACACAGGCAGTTCTGCTGGAGTGAGAAAATGAAGAGCTTTGCAAGGAGCATGCGAAAGAGTTTCTGACTTTACTTTGGTCCGAGCAGTGCTTTGCAGGCTTGCGATTCTGCAAGCCCTGCTTGATCAGAGATGCAGGCGGTACTTGTATTTTGCATGGCAAACGCCGCAGGCTTTCCCACTACGCTGGATTGCGTTGGTCAATGTGATGTTGTCAACCAGTTGAGTGCAAGGTGGCGTAGCCAGGTGCACAGTAAGCTTCGTCAGTTCAAGTCCAGATTGGCCCAGCTGCAGCATGTTTATCCTGAATATGTTTCTGATGCTGACCCTTCCCTATTTCTTGTAAACTCCACACTTGACCCACTTGGCACTCTTATTGTTGCCCATCTCCTTGCAACCTTCCAACCTTGCCCCTCTCGCGCCATGGACAAATGGCGAAGCCAGTTTCCGCTGCGTGCGCGAGGGTGCCGGCTTGTGAACCAAGACGGTCAGCCGCTTGATGCAAAGCGCATGCAGAATCTGGCGTCATAGTGTGCGGGCTTTGGGCATTGTTGGAAAGTGATGGCGAGTTCAGTTTGTGTGGAGATATCAAGTGCCTTGGCAGATTGCGATTCTACTTTGCTTCGGGATTTCGGCACATCACAGAAATAGAGTTCATCAGGAGTCACCTCGACGAATGTGGCTGTGTTTGTTTCCAGCTGCGTTGATAGGCTCCAAGCTTGGAACTAGCGCATCGCATGTGTCTTGCAAAGTCAAAGTCTTCGCAAGGATTCCTGCTTCCAAAGGGACCACTGCGGCATGATGCCAGTGCAACGTTTCCCTACGAATATTCAGAGCCAGTATGTATCCTGATGATGTGAAAGTGAAGCTTGACAATAGACATGTTGGCTCATGCTAGCTCCTTTTTTGTGATTAGCTAGCAAAAACAGCTGTTCAAACAACCACAGCTGTTGCGTGTGGAGTTGACATTCCCAGACGTGCAATGACCGCTCCATTGCTCAAATGTTGAGGCATTTCAAGCTGGCTGGCGTGAACTGGTACGGTGCTTCGGACTCGTATCATGTCGTGCCTTGGCTCAACCGGTTGCGAGCACTGCCTCTTCTGCTGCAAAGTGTTCGCTGTGAGCTCTCCGTGCAAGCGAAGTGACCATCTCTCTTTTGGGCGCTGTTGCCAGGTGGGCGGCCTGGATATGCGTCCTTTGGCAGCTCCTTGGGTCAGATGGCGCGTTTTTGAATGTTCAGTCAAGGACACGTGTCAAAGATCTTGCGGCTTTGCTCAAGCGAGACGACTCCAACCAAATTATGACACCGCTATTGACACGATGAAAAACATAGTATTGCCCGGGAATCGTTTTTTGATGGTGTTCTTTCGGTTTTTCAGTTGGATTGGGGTGTGGGGGGGGGGGCGGGGTTGGCTTTTCAATAGTTTTCAGTCTGCGTCTCGTGGTATCGTCAGGCATTCATTTGCAGCATGTGGGACCATGTTTACAGCCTCCCCATGGTGCTGTCACGCTAAAATGTTGTCTCAGCGAGCCTTCCGCTGAGGACATTTGTCACTCTGTCGCTGCCATGGGCTTCACAGTTGTGCGGCTGCCCTTCTCCAGTGAGATGCTGCGCGTGCAGTCAGTGCCCGAGGGCGGCCCGGAAGCGATAGGGGCCTTTGGCGGACACGTTCTCTTTACACGAAGCAGCGAATTCAATCCAATTCCCATGAAGTGCAAAACATCTCTGAGGCAAATTGCAAGCTGATTCAAAGAGCATGGCGCTTTGCTGCCACGGAGGCCTTCTTGTTTAGAGGAGAGGTGCTTGCGTGGGCCCTGCGCCTTTCAGAATATCTGAAAGAAGCGTACCGCAGGGGTAGATTCGGTGTCACTGCAGAAGGACGGCTTTTGCACGCAACTGAGGCGCCATTGACTATTCCCTGAACGGGGAACTCAAGGGACTCACGCCACTGCAGGTGCCGCGGTTCGGTGTGGGATTGCGGCGAAACCTATCTTTCCGTCAAGCATTTCCATCATATAGATTGTTTAGCAGGCAGACGAGCACCAAGAGGGCAGATGACCCTGACTGCTCGTGTAATTGCATGTGTGCTTTTCGATCTGGCAGTGTCTCAAGATAAGCACTTGCTCGGGATGCCAGTGAGAGAGTTGTTCGCATCGATTTGTCGAACTTTTAGTTGGTGCAATGAGCATGGATCAAGGCTTGGGAAGTCAGGGAGGTGTCGCCAAAAAGGCAAAAATGCCAACTTGGGCAAACGAAGACAGGCACATACATTGTCTCGATTTTTTTTGTGTTGGAGGGGGGGGAAGTAACAACATTCCGTCTTTTGCCGGTGATTCTCGCAAGGACCGATCTTTGAGGCACTCGCAATTCGCAACGGCCAGGTCTATGATCGCGTGATCGAACAACTTGGTCTCGCAGGCGTGACAGCAACTCGGATCTTCAAAGCTGGCACGCCTGCCACAAGAACAAGACCTGGGTTGGGTTGGGGGCCCTTCCCAGACCTATCTGCATTATTCGTCTTTTTAGCTGGCATCACTCTGGTTTTGCTTGGCTGAGTGGTGTTGTCTGCTGTTTGGGGATAGTCTTGGAGCAATGTTCTATCCCAACGCAGGATATTTGCCTGAAAAAAGGTCTTCTGGGAAGAACAAGAAACCCGGCAAACACAACTGCAAGAGCATTGCTTTGCCTTTCTTCCGCTGCAATCGTTGGCATCGAGTTCTGCTTCGTTTTCCACACGGCCACAAAGTTCTGATGAGGTGATGATCAACAACCACACCACTGTGGGTGCTTGGAGCGGTGGCGTGGAGCTCAACGGCATGTGGTTCCGCGCCTTGGCCAGAAGCCGACGAGAGTATTGGCCAGGGTTCTATTTTTTGACCTGCAAATAGACTTAAACCCAGGGGTTCCCTTTTTGGGGTACATGACCCACCCCTGGGTTTAAGTCTATTTGCAGGTTGGCAGGTTTTGAACGGGAAGTGGCCCAGAAAGGCTCGCAGAAGGCATTTCAATCTTCATGCTGGCTTCTCATGAATGTTGCACCTGGTTTCATAGGTTCCCACTACAGCCGAGCACGAATCCAAAACACCATCCATGCAATGCGGTAATAGGCGGCAAAGTGTGAGGGGGGGAGGGGGGCGCCCCACAGTAAACAAGGCCGCTGCTCATTCACCCGAAGACAAAAACAATCGCCTGGCAGGTGATCAGTGCGAGATCTACACAGAGCAGTCCTGGATCAACGACTGGGTCATGATGGCGAAGCGCTATAAGGATATGCCCCAAGTCGTTGGCTATGACATCCGCAACGAGGCCTGCGCCTCCAACTAGGTGCCAAAATTGTAACGACGCATGTTGACAACATGCCTGCGGAGTTGGCAGCTAAACACAACTGCAAAATGGCCTCACAGTGACACACAAGAGATATCGTCCATGTGCCACGCTCTGCGACTCCTACTTGGCCATATTTGGGTCTGAGCTGTTTTTTGAGGAAAATCTCTCTTTTTGGTCTGACCTTTTTTGAGGGACACCTCCTTTTAACAAAATGGCAGTGGGTCAAAATAAGGTACCCAAAATGGAGCCCTGGCAAATAGAACCAAGGACGAAAACCTGCGGTTTGCTGGTGCTTTAATTTTGACCCACACCCAAATGGGTATGGGTCAACATGAAACAGGAGGGGTTACGCAGGTTTTGGTCCATGTTTCCACTTACCAAGGTTCAATTTTGAGTACCGATTCTTGACCCACGGCCAAATGAAACCTGAAACGGACCTCGGTCGCCCTTTTCAGACGCGAGGTGCGGCCCACCACCATGACGGGCCCCAGCCCGCGCTGGGGCTCCGGTGAGAAGCTCTTCGACTGGAGCCGAGCCGCTGGCAGCTGTGCCGGGCTGAGTTTTTGAGTTGAGCCACGTGCTCAAAACCGGGGTAGATGAAGTTTAGTAAGGGACACTCCCAACCATAAATAGCTGTGGCCGCCTTAATTCTTTACAGGGTTCTGGGTAGACCACTTGAATGCCGGGTTTTGATTATGACTCAGGTGTTTTTAAGGGGTGCTGTGGTTGGGTTGCTTTTAGAGGGAAGCCAAAAGAACCAGCAACAGGGTTGGATCAAGGGGCTTATCCAACCACTTCTGTGATACAAGGGATTATCTCCCTTGTATGGCAGTTTTGTCTTTCAGAAGCCGTTGTTGTATCACAGAAGTGGATTCCATTTCCCACAGCGAAGAGCAAGGCCGCGGCGGGGTTGGGGGACCCCAAAGCCCACAGGGCCGCGGGGTCCAGCTCGGGCACTCCAGCCCACACATGCGGCTGAGGTTGTCAAAACCGTTTTGGGATCCCATTTTGGTTGGTAGGTGAGAATTCACCACCCATTTTAGAACCTATTTTAGTTGGGATGTTCACTGGGGGTGCGATTTTGTTTTTGACCCATGGCCATGTGCCATCATGTTAAATCGCCACTGGAAGGCGTGCAGATGCTCAAGAAAACGTCCGACGAAGAACATCTTTGGCGCACTTGTCTGTGGAGCGTGGTTCTTGGACATTGACGACACTGCTGCGCACCACCGAATACACAGCACGCTGGGCAGTGTGGCATCTGTCGACGCGCCTGTCTGTGAAACGTGGGATTCGTGCACGTGGGCGCGTGCTTCCGACATGTCCAAGCGTGTCCTGGAAAGAAGGATGAGCCCACGCAGACTCTCTCACGCCCTTATCCACGGCGCGAGCTTCAACAACGCATTGGTTGCGCGGATGATGGGTACAAGCTGAGTGTATGTGTGTGTGTGTGTTGCTTTTGGCGCTATTTCTGTTTCGAAGGGAAGCCAAAAGGACACTTGGCGTTCAGTTGCTTAAGCATTTGGAGACAAGCCCAGCTGACTGCTGGCCTCTTCCTTACTTGTCAGCCAAGTCTAATTCGATATCGCCCAGGGAATGCGTGAATCAGATCATGTTTCTATGCAGGGCAAAGACTCGTCCGTTTCAAGTGAACGCAGCATGAAACCGAGGTGCCCGCGCTTTGATGGACGCAGCTGCCCCCGGCGTGATTGTGGTGGAGCGCATTGCTTGGCCCCAGAACAGCCTACGAGAAGCTTGGTTCAACCTGGCACATATTCCGGAGGGCTTGTACAATGCCAGCATGATACAACTCTGTTTCCACATATCCCGGCTAAGCTTCTTGACGCAATCCGAGCAAACCATGATTGAATTGTTCTAGCAATGAGTACAGAGCTGTTCTTTGAAAACCACCATTTTGCTATGTTCCTTAAGCGGAATCCCCCTTTCGAAATGATTGGTGGATATTGTGTACGTCCCCATCCAGATTGACGTTTGCCGAAGAATCCCCAATTTTAAGCTGATGCCATTTGGAGATGCCAACGTTGTGATGGCCTTTGTGCAGCTGCCTCAGGAGATGTTGAAGCCTCCTCCCTGGGAAGCCTGGGGCGTTCCTAGAGATCGCATCGTGCTGTCGGTGCACATGTACGCAGCTCGGACTTGGCACAAGTGACTTTCATTGAGAGAAATCGATCACTTGCAGCACCTTCACGATGCCTGGCTCTTCAATGCTGTTCGTCCTGGAGCCAAAAAGTTTGTGAAGACTCGAGGCTTCGTTCTGTGCTTCAAGTCTCCATTGCTGGCCACACCTCCAGGTCCCTCACACGCATTTTCGCAGTTGTTACTGTCCCTTGTGTGGTTGTTCGCGTGTAGAAGTAAAGGTTTTAGGCAACAGGCCCCAAACTTGTGCAAGGAAGAGCCGCGGAGTCAGATGATCGTTTGCTTTGGCGCACACCATCCCACAACAAAGAAGGCTTTGTTTGGCAGGGTTGGTCTTTAGAATTAGAACCAATATCAGAACAGTTGTGTCAAACGCTTCAGCACAAGAAGCATCGATGCTGGATGTTTCTTGGTTCTGAATGATCAAGAAAACGCCGATAGGTCAAGCACCGCTTCAGACTTCAAACCACAGGCAATTCAAGGCTACCTGTAGTGTAGTTCGCAAATGCGATTTGACATTGGAGACTTAGAAACCAGTACATCCAAAGACTTGAGCATGCATCGGTGACATTCGGTGATTTGGCCTTGGGAGATTCGCTCACAAACCAGGGACTGCTTTGAGTGGAGTGGTGCCCGAACTGCGTTGGTCCATGTTGTATAAGCTGTTATACATCTTCTTCAACATCCAATCATGAACAGGTAAGCGGATGGGAGCCATGGTGTTCGAGTGTGCTGGTGTGAGTGTGCTTGTGTGTTAAGGCACGAGAATGTGCACAATGGTTTTGTTCGGAGCCCTGGGCAGAACGCAGTCTGCCCGTGTTCACCTGGCGCGACCTGGCGAGGCTTGGAGCGGACCGGGCAGCTGGAGCCCTAAGCACTTCATGCCAGGCAGGGCTGAAAGAGGTTCAGTTGGTGGCCAATGGGATCCCATTTTGGGATAGGTGAATTCACCACCCATTTTAGAACCTATTTTAGTGGTTGGATTGGTTCATGTTCACTGGGCTAACCGATTTGGGTTTTGACCCATGGCCACATCCACAATGGGACCTCTCAAGCGCGTGGAAATATCCCTTGCCAGGGCTCAGAGTACTTGCAACTTGTATTGCAAGTTGATTTCAGTTTGAGCAATCGTAAGTCGGACTGTTGAACTCAGTTGATTCAGTTGATTTTAGTTTACGTTGATTTCAATGGACTTTTTCGTAGCTGCAACTTAACTTGAAGTGTAGTTCTGGCACAGTGGTTTGTACAGCCCGTGCTCTGCTTCAGTTGTTCTCCGCTCATTTTTCGATGTGGTGGACTACGTGGGCTCTCGGTCGCTGTATGGCGAGATGAGTTGGGCGCTTAGTTGAATCAGAGAAGGGGCAATTACAACGCTGAATGGGAACCTACAGCTAGAAATTTGGATGCATTTCAAGCTTTGCGTCTTGGGCTTTGTGCTCAAGACGCTGACAACAGTTGCGCTGCACGCAGTTGGACATGCAGATGCCACAGGCCTGATCTTCCTTTTGTGCCTGCCGTGTTCGTTCAGGCACCATTCGGTTTTTATCTTGAACGCCATGCAGCACGCAAATAATATAGCAGCAGAGGGTAGTTTTCCGGCAAGTGAAGACAGTTGAGCTCGAATGACAGCGCTAATCTTTGTTTCAGCTTCCTGGTCTAAGGTGAAGAACTTTTGGAGCAGCAGATGGACCAAGATTTCGGCTTTTGCTTGAACGAGGCCGGGCGCAGGGAGAGCTGAAGGTGTTCGCAGGAGGTTCTAAACCTTTTCACAGACACACACACACACATTGCTGTGGGTCAAAACCAATGGTACCATTTTGGGGAAGGTGCACCACCCATTTTAGAACCTATAGTATTTTTTGATTGGGATGTTCACTGGGGGTGCGATTTGGGTTTTGACCCGCAAGAGACGCAGGGCAGAGCCTGAGCCATGCGAAGTGATGCTCTCCTGAGGACATTTGCCCGGTGTGGCTCTCCGAGCTGGGCGCAGACCTTTCGAGCGGCGAGCTGGACTGGTTCCTGAAGGTCTGCAAGTATTTGGCCTTGGCCCCAGGGAAGTTTTGCCCGGCACCGGCAGGGCCCTCTTAGGGCCCCTCTTGGGGCCCCTCTTAGGGCCCCTCTTAGTTAGGGCCAGCTAGCGCTGCAATTCGCGCTGAGGAGAAGAGGGATGTGGACTTCGCGTATTGGCCGCTGAATGTGGGGCCAAAGCCTGGTGGGTCGGATGATGAGCCGCCTGGCTCAGTGTTTGCCACATCGAGGAGCCAACAGACCGGCCATGAGCAGCCGGGTTTTTTTCACCTACGACTCAACAGCCTTCAGGTGTGGAGAAGCCTTGTGTCACATTTGGGCACAAGCGGCATATGTGTCTAGGGGCGCTTCCGTGCTTCAGGAAGGGGAACACGCCAGCGAACAAGCATGGGACTGACGAATCGAAATCATTGCCGCTTGTTTTTTCATGGCAGGGAGGCGGAGTCTTGCTGTCATCCAAGGGCCTATGGCATTTTGACCAACGACTGGCAGCCGCGTTGGGCTGACCGTCGCCTACAGGCGGGCTACCGGCCCACTGGGCGAACGGGAAACGGGGAAGCCATCTATTTAAAGATGCCACCATTTGTAGAAAGACATGGGAGCTGTGGTGCTCCACAGGAGAATGCGCTTTATATCTTCGGTGTCTCAAAACAAGATCTCAACGCACTCGAATACCAATTAACGCAGTGACAGACAATTTTAGTTCAAGCACAGTGAACGCGGACAGGACACACTTTGTTCAGACTGAAGTGTCGAGATAAGCAACAAGCAGAATGCGGCACAGGCCATTCGCTGCGTTTTGCCATTCCTTCCGCGAATATTGACGATCTTATCCCTGATTCTTCATTTGTGTTCCTTTCATATCGGGGACGGAGGTATATGGCACCTTTGCCAAACTAACTTTGCAGAGGGTTGCCAGTTTCAGACCGCCCACGCTCTATATCTACTGTGGCGGAGACAACCTCGCACTCCTTTGTACTTCTGCGTTAGGTGGGAACTGGCCCTTGCCTTGGAATTGAACATTTGGCTGTGGGTTAAAACCAATGGTACCATTTTGGGGTAGGTGCACTGCCCATGTTAGTCAATTTTAGTGGGGATTGGGATGTTCACTGGGGGTTTTGACCCATTTTTCAAATCACCAGGCTCCTGGTCTATTTAGCTCGAGGCCTTTTCGCCATACGAATATGAAGCTGTCGCTGAGAAAGTGGCGGCCGAGATTGGCAGGCCTTGCGCCGGCTCTGCCCGCAGCCTTCCGTGCCACGAAAGTCCTTGCCAGCAAGGAGGGTGCGGCAGATGGCCGTGGCAGAGTTTGGCCACAAGCGGTCGGCTGGTTGGGTGCCAAGGCATATTCAGAAGCTCTTTGAGAGTGGTTTGAACGGGAATAAACATAATCATTTGTTTGGAGGGTTCCTTGGTTTCATGCGCACATACACATATTGCAGTAGAGCCCGCGAAGCCGGTTGGCGGAAGTTCCACAAATACAAGAGCTATAGTCCTTTCTCTTCGCTTTCTCTTTTGTTCTTTCTTCTTTCATAGTCTGTCTCTTTCCCTTTCTCTTTCCCTTTCTCTTTCTCTGTCTTTTTGTTTCCCATGTTTTTTCAATACAAATACACCTGTTTGTCTGTCGGTCGGTCGGTCTGTCTGTTCTTTCTGTCTGTCTGTTCTGTCTGTCTGTCTGGCTGGTATTAATCTTGCTATTTCTACCTATCTATTGTGCTATCTGTCTACCTCTCTACCTCTCTACCTGTCAGACTATCAATCTATCTGTATGTCTGTCTATCTGCCTATCTGTCGATCTACCTATCGTTGTATATGTCTATCCATTGAACTACCTATCCATCCATCCATCCATCCATCCATCCATCCATCCATCCATCCATCTATCTATCTATCTATCTGTCGATCTATCTAGCTTTGTATGTTCCTATCCGTCTATTTGTCTATCTATACATCCATCCATCCCTCCATCCCTCCATCCCTCCATCCCTCCATCCCTCCATCCCTCCATCCCCCTCCATCCCTCCATCTCTCCATCCATCCATCCCTCCATCCCTCCATCCCTCCATCCCCCTCCATCCCTCCATCTCTCCATCCATCCATCCCTCCATCCCTCCATCTCTCCATCCATCTCTCCATCCATCCATCCCTCCATCCCTCCATCCCTCCATCCCTCCATCCCTGCATCCCTGCATCCATCCATCCATCCATCTATCCAATCTATCCAATCTATCCGACTCTATCCATCCAATCCAATCCAATCCAATCCAATCCACCCATCCATCCATCCGTCCGTCCGTCCGTCAGTCAATTAAAGAATCAATCAGTCCTATCCATGTTTCTATCTATCTATCTATCTATCTATCTATCTATCGATTTATCTACTTATCTTCTACATGGGTATCTATCTACGTATCTATCAATCTAGCTAACTATCCATCTATTGTTTCCTCTCTTTGTATCTATCTGCTTGCCTGTCTGTTTGTCTGTTTGTCTGTTTGTCTGTCTGTGTGGCTGGCTAGCTGTTTGTGTATCTAGCCGTTTATCCATCTATCTTGCAATATGTTTTTCTATCTAGTCTATCTATCTGTCTATCTATCCATCTATGTTGTTTTCCTACTTTACTGTCGGTCTATCCATCTATCCATCTTTCCATCTATCTATCTAGCTATCTATCTGTCTATCCAGCTATCTAGCTATCTAGCTATCTAGCTACCTAGCTATCTAGCTACCTAGCTACCTAGCTATCTAGCTATCTAGCTATCTAGCTATCTAGCTATCTATCTAGCTATCTAGCTATCTAGCTATCTAGCTATCTAGCTATCTAGCTATCTAGCTATCTAGCTATCTAGCTATCTAGCTATCTAGCTATCTATCTATCTATCTATCTATCTATCTATCTATCTATCTATCTATCTATGCATTGATGTATCTGCAGTGCTCCGCGAGTGCTGCGCCTGCCACGAAATCTGTACCTGACCTTGCGAAAGCGTAGTACCTGTCACGAAATCTGTAGCTCGCCTTGCGACAGTGCTGCGCTTGCCATGAAAGCGCTGTGCCTGCCACGAACTCTGCGCCTGACCTTGCGAAAGTGCTGAGCCTGCCTTAATTTGTACAGATTACGCTCTGTCACGGGGTGAGGCGCTGCTGATGAGTTGAATGGCTGGCACATTGTTGTCATTTGCTTCCAGCCACCTCAAGAGTTGCGGACACTTGCTGCGAAGGCTGTAATAAGGCGTCCTAGCTTTCAGAGCAGCAAAATTGCCCGTCAGAGTTTGCGCCTGCCCGCCCAGTGCGTGCTCTTGTGTTCGTTTGTTCCAAACGGATGGTCTTCAATCACAACGAGTGCACTTCATAGGGAGTTTCACCCGTGGCATCAGTAACAAGTCATCAGGACAGATAACTTACCTGCAACCTTGCCATACCTCAAACGGTCTTTGCCACTACAAGATGCATGACGCAGAGTTTTGACACAGCATGAAGCCGGTGGGGCAATAGCATGATCGCATACCACTTGCAAGGTTTACATGTGGGCTGCAACATTGGATTCAAGATGTGTTATTTGGATCTCTGTATGGATTTGTTTTTATATAGTATTTCCCCCAAAAAAATGGGTGGCTCTCTGTGCATTTCCCGTTTACGCAACTCCACAAAGCCTAGCCTCAAGAGAAACATAGCCACGCGTTGATGTTGTTTCCATCCGTGACAGTCACCGTCGCCCTGGCGCGGGTCCAGGAGGCCCTTGCAGCTGCCTGCACGGGCACGTGCCAACACCTGGGATGTAGGCCGGTGGCGGTCCGGCAGTTCCGTGGCTTTGGCTTGTCGAATCTTCAGTTTTTGGCGGCTTTGGTGGGAATCCAACAGCAAGTTGAAGCGTCTTGTGAGGGTAGGCGAAGGCATCCCAGGCGGCAATTGCTTCGTTTTCACTCACCCTGCCATACAAAAGTATTCGGAGGTTGGAGGGCCCCAATTACTGTAATCAACACGGGGGAGCAGACAGAGAGCGCAGGCCCTAGTTCATGGAGTTGCGCGAGTCCCGAATTCTTACTAATGGAAAGTGGTGGGGAATGCATGAATCGTTGTTCGTGTTCGGATTCTCTCGTGGGCTGTGCTTTTCATGACGAACATCTAACGCATGCATCCGCGGGTTCCGAGCTTTTCATGTCTTGGACGGGGTGTGCGGCGAGTGTGGCGCGCCTCCGCGAGGGACGGGGGGTGGGGCATGCGAGTTGCTAGGCAGATCGCCAAGCCCCATGGCTCCTATGGCAACTCCCAGCCATTTGGCATCACCAGGACGGTCCGGGGGCTCCAGCTTGAGATTGCTGTCAGAAAAATATCTTGGCATCAGCATTGAGTATTGTAATTGAATGTTTTTTTTCTTCTTTTTTTCCTTTTCTTTTTTCTGAGTTAGATTGATGGTGGCGCAAGGGGCTATATTTCTCAATCGTCGAGACAACAGTGACACCAGATGTATCGTTGCAGACAGTCATCAAGCCGTGCAGACAAACCCCTTTCACCTGCTTTGCATTGACATTGCGTCCAATGCGTGCAAGCACATTGAGATCGCAAGGCTCAGTGGCGACCGTGGCAACAACCACGGCAACTTGCTTTGGGGATGTGGACGAGCTTTTGCTGCTGGCACCATACCCTTGGTGCCGGCCACTGCCAGGCTCGGCACGGAGCCAGGAAGGTGAATCTGATTCAACAGCGGTGAAGGATCATGTTCGTGAGCTCGCATCACTGCAACATACTGTATGACATACTGCCCCCTTTGTTGCACTGCCCTCCACTGCCCTCTGCCATTGTACTCCCATATTCTGCCCTATACACTGCCTCTGAATTTCATGAGCGCAGATCTCTATGTACTGCCACTGCCAGCCACCTTGGCAGGTCCGCTCGTGCCGTGGCCGGGCACCCCGAAGACAAAGGAGCTGCCGGAGGTGCGCTACCTCTGGAAGGCGAGGGGCGAGGGGCTCGCGAAATGGCCAGCCCGGTTAGCCCCCAGTGAACATCCCAATCCAACCACTAAAATAGACTAAAATGGGTGGTGAATTTGAATTCACCTACCCCAATATGGTACCGTTGGTTTTGACCCACAGCCAAATGAGAATGGGGGGCAGGAGTGGATTTCTGGTTGGCCCAGCTGGCTTTTCGACGGAAGTGCTTCGCTTTGTACAATCTCCACCCTCTTCCGGCCAGGGGCTTCTCCCGGATGGCCCTGGGCTTTTGGGATACTCAGTAGTTGGGGAGGGGGGGGGAGTGGGAGCTGGCGAGCATGGTGGGAGTCTGGTTCAAAAGGAGTGCGGCTGCCAAGTCAAAAATCGAACGGTCCTACCTGCCCGGACGTGTGTCAGCTGCATTGGCAACATAGAAGCAGCTCACTCGCTGTATCCAAAGTTCTCTTTTGCTCCGTTTGTTTCCTTTCTTTCTGTCTTTCTTGCTTGCTTGCTTGCTTTGCTTGCTTTGCTTGCTTTGCTTGCTTGCTTGCTTGCTTGCTTGCTTGCTTGCTTGCTTGCTTGCTTGCTTGCTTGCTTGCTTGCTTGCTTGCTTGCTTGCTTGCTTGCTTGCTTGCTTTCTTGTCTTTCTCTCTTATGTATTTGTGTTTTGCATGTATTCACATGTAGTTGTTTGTTTATTGTTTTTATTTTGTTCTTCGCGATGCTCATGCTTGATTTCGGTTGTCCATTGTCTACGCGGATGCCGCTTGTTTGGGACATTGGCTTTCAACACAAAGCATTTTTTTCCACAGAAACGGACTCGTTCGGTCGTGGCTCATGGGTTCTCCTTTCAGCAGTGGCTCATAGACGTCTGCAGCTTGGCTCATCTGGAAGTTGCCCAGCAAGCCCAGAGCTTCTCCTTTCCGAATATGGAGCTCTCTTCGCTATGCCTGAGAATCCCATGGTTCGGAGATGCGGAATGTAGGGCGAGGCATTGCGCCGGAGAAGCATTCGTTTTCCGCACAATCGTGTGTCTTGAGTGCCTTTGAGTTCGTGCAGCATGTGTTCCGACCAGTTGATGGCAGGTGCTAGATGGAGTAGACGCAGATCCTGGCAAGGACACCACAAACGGCCAGCGGATTTTGTGCCGATCAACATTGTGCATGGACGGCGCATCCACTGGGCTACTTAATGCCAATAAATGGGATGGCATTGTAGGCAGTGACACTTGGCACCTTGTCGGCTGTTCAGTGCATTTGATGGAATTGTTTGCTCCTTGCATGCCCAATTCCGAACCGCGACGTTTTGCTGAGCTCATGCTGCATCCATGCTACGATTCGCAAGATATTATGGCCTTTGCCATCTTCAGGATGCAATGACCATGCGCTGCACCGATCTAGAGGAGCTCCTTGACTGAAACATTTGCTGAACTTGATATGGGACGCCCAGTTGGCACAAGAACCCCAGGCTGGATGCAGATTGCGACTGTTTAGGGGTGATTGTTACAGGGCTAGTTATGTCCCACCAGCTGAGACAGAAGCAGGGACACATTCACATGGACAGAGAGAGAGAGAGAGAGAGAGAGAGAGACAGAACCCATCCTCGGGAAAGGGCGGTCTTTCAGAGAAGCTCCAACGAAGTTCTGCCGGTATTTGGCGTGATATTGCATGCCTGGCATGCCCCAAGCAGAATCATTTCTGACTGGCCGTAAACCCATCCTAAACATACCCATGTGCGGGGTTTGCCAACCAGTCACCAAGCCCGGCCGCCTAGCCCAATCCTCCCATTAGCCCAACCGCGACTCAAACCTGGCCAGCCACGTGGAATTTTGCGCCTGGTCCGGGACCAAAATCACAAATCTAATCACCAGCCGTGGAGGCGAATGCACAGGTTCTATTTCCCCATTCTCACAGGTCTTTTTTTGCCGTTCCTTTGCTTTTTGCATGCTCAACGTATACAGTTCTAAGACACATCGAGCCTCAAATCGTGCCAATCCCGAGTTCTTGTTGAACTTCCATCGTCTAGCCTCTGATGACTCATTTTGGCGCCCCTTTTGAGGCTACTCCTGGGGATGTGTGGAAGCTCCGGGCCTTTTCAGCGCCTTCCGAGGGCGAAGCTCATCTGCGTGAGCCAGGGCTACGGCGGCTTTGCGCTGCATGAGGGCTACGCCTACATGCGCCGCGCGGCGCCGGAGGCAAAACTCCGGGGGGGGAGGCCGTTTCTTGCCGCGGCTTGGGGATCCAAGATGTGGCTGTTGTCAAAACCGTTTTGGTTGATCCCATGGTGGGTAGGTGAATTCACCACCCATTTTACATGGCCTATTCTAGTGGGGAAATTGGGATGTTCACGGGGGGGTAACCGGGATTTTGACCCATGGCCATGCATGTCTCGAAGTGGCTTTCGCACTCTACACAGTTGCATTTACATCACATCCTGAAAATGTGAGCGGCAGTGGTTGCATATTGGAGCGTAATGGGAAGGAAGGTGGTGATCTGTTGGAGTCAGTACGGTGTATGTGACTCCAGGAGTTTGCGTAGAGCAGAGAAGCTTGCTTCCCAGGAACAACGCCCCCATTTCCCGATCGAAGGCGCCAGAATGGGCACTAATGCCTGGGTACACCATCTTTACTGATTCTAAGTTCCAGTGGTTCAGTGTCTTCCCCCTTGCCCGCAACCCAACTATTTCAAACGCATTAAAGGACAGCAGGCAAGCGCAAGTCCACAGTTTGAACAGGCTGCTATATTATTCTAATATCCAAATCTGGATACTTTGACAGCTGCCAGGCATATCTCAGTTTCGGAGTTGCTTGGATTTGCTGATTCTATTTGATCTAATTTGAATGTGTTTGAAGGATTTCAATGTTTGGGGATGTGTCTGTCAACAATTTGAAATAGTGTTGACATGTCTGCAATGTTGCTTGAAAAGGCTTGGGGTGTTAGGCGCCTAGACTGTTCTCTAATATTCAAACGTATTCAACACAAATGGAAGCAGCCTAAATTCTAGCACTCCTATTAGCTAAAACACGCGGAACTGCTTGCTTGTTTCAGCAAACTAAGTTAATTATACGTTTGGAGGCTGGTTGTGGTTGGTTGTGGTTGGTTGAGGCGCGTCGTACTTATTCGCTTGTGGCTGGTGTTCTGCTTGATTAGCTGTGGTTGGTTGGCTATGATTAGTTGGTTGTGGTTGGTTGGTTGCTTGCTGGCTGGCTTGGCTTGGATGGCTGGCCTGGCTGGTTTGGCTGGCTAGTCTGGCTGGCAGGCTAGTTGGTTGGTTGGGTGGGTGGGTGGGTGGGTGGGTTGGTTGCGGGTGACGCCTGAGAATCATTGGCGGACACCCAATTCACACCTAGACCATGTCCCAAAGTCACCCCAACACATGTCGAAAGGTAATGAAAGTAATTTCCAGCCCATGCGCGCCTCTTCTGTGTAGACCCCCATCTTTACAGAAGACTTCGAGTTTCCATGCCTGAAAAGAACTGGTGCTTTCGCCAGGCTTTGCTCTCGAGGATGCAAACTGGCCAGGCCCCAAGTCCGCACACCCGTAGGACACTTAACGAATTGCAACACCATGATCCTGCCAAGCGTTCCCATCAACAGGAGGGAGAGAACAAATTGACTTGATTTGATGTACCAGGGGAGTGGGGCGACAAGAAAGGCCGACAGCGTATCTCACTGTTTGGCGCAAGACACTGGACCATACTAGTGGGAAGCTGCCAAGCTTGTTGACGCAAGCAGTGGTCTCTATAAGCAGGTTGTACAAGGCAACCCAGTCTTAAGAATTGCCGGATTTCAGGCTACACCAAGACGAAGATGTACTTGCCACAGGAGGCTGGCCAGCTTCTTGTGCACAGCGAGGAGTTATTGACATGCGTCCTCTGGCATTAAGCCTGAGCTTGCAACAAGTCTTCTTGCCAGGTGCGCCTTTGCGCCAGCTGGCTGGATTTGGTACCTATGGGCCAGGCAAGGACTTCTGATTGGTCAGATGCACACGTGGTACCCTTCAACAAAAGGCTCATTGCCAGCTGCAGTGATTGTGACCGTCAACCGTTGAAACGCGCATGTCGGTGGTCTCCTTTCAACCAGTAGCAAGACTACTTTTGGCTGACACCCCCAAGCCACAGGGCAGCTGCACGGCTGTAGGGCTCAGGGGCTGCGCGCGCCACTCCCCATAGCGGCACGCCGTCGTTGGTGTGCGGGCGGACCCCGCTGTGGTTTCTTTACGTTCTTTTATTTTTCCCCGTTTTTCCTCTGGCAGACTGGGCCCTTGCACCCGTCGCCTTTCCGATGTACAGCCGCGCATTCAGCCTCCATCAGTCCTTTGGACCCAATAGTGGCCCAATTGTTTTTTTTGGGGAACGTGGCGGCTTGACGCAGAGTGCGCCGTTCTTTGTTCCTTTCCTAGTTGCCACTGCGCCGGACTGGATCTGTTCAACGTTCCATCTCGAGAATGAAATGCGCGAGTTCCCGTTGAGTTTTGACCAGGTGAAGCCTCAGAGTACACCAGGCCTGGACAGATCTTGGTGCCGGCCTTGCCGCTGATCTGTTTTTGGGCGGGCTTCCTTGGGCGGGCTTCTAGCCGGCGTTTCTGACTTCAGGCCCAGCTCTCATGGACGTCGAAACCTTCGTTTGTTTGGTGGCGAATCCAGTGGCCTGCCAATTTGATCATGGAAGAATCATTCTGCCAGTGCCTCACTGCAAGTAATTCTGCGAATTCTACTCCACATCAATGGCCAAAGCTGGATGAGTTCGCGGTCAATCGGGGACACGGCCATGACAAGTGTCCATGAAAGAAATTTACCGTGCTAGAGGTTCTACACAGGAGCATAAACACAGGACGGGCATTGCATTCCTGCCTCCTTGGAAAGGTGATTCTGAGATCATTTCCTTACAGCTCGATGATGAGCATCCAGAAGCCGCTTTTCTGCACTTCTGGTTGCATCGTAGACTTGATCATATTTTATCACTGACTCCTAGATGTTGCAAGTGAGTTGTTTTTTTTGTCCTGACTTGCGTTCCCACTGAACTGCCGACAGACTGCATGGATGTACTTCACAGGGAATAACGTCAAGAGATTGTGTTGCTGTTGCGAGGCTGCCCTTGAGGCGTGCCAGCGTGCTTGGGCCTTAGCAAGTGTAACTTCTTGAGCTGACCTACTCAGCTAGCAATGGTTTCATGATAGCTGCATTCTTGGCAACGGCGCTTGCACGACGTCATGTGTGCGGGTTGATGTGCCATGCCTCTCAAGGCATGCTTAGAGGGCGGAAAGGCTGGCTTTGAGCGGGGAGCCCCGGGAGATGCAATCGCAACGTTATTATATAGACAGGAGCCCTCAGTCTCAACACGCTCTGAGCATGTATTCAGCTTGAGCTAATTCTCCGCCAACCTTGCCGATTCATTCCTTGACGTCTTTTCAGATTCAAGCAAAAACACGACAAATTGAGTTGAGCCTTTGAGTTGCATTTGAATCCATAGCTGCAGCTCGGCCAACATAAGTACTTGCCGCACAACTTGTTGTCATATTTTGCATACTCAGCAACCACTTCTTTGACTGTCGTTAATTCGAAACACGACGCGTGCAACAAGACAAAGCCTGGGCAGCTTGCTTGAAGATGGAATCTCTTGCACTACTGTTCGTTCTGTTGCCAACGCCTTGCCGGCATCTATCATTCAATATTCAGATCATTCATAAGCGGGCAACGCATGCCACTTTGTGACAAGCTGCGTCTTGTGCATTCGGAAGTTGGCCCGACCTTCTCTCAGGCTTCGTGAGGCCGATGCCCGGCTCATCTCTGCCGCAGAGGCACCAGTTTGAGAGAAAAGCCCAAGTCGGCCATGGCTTTGTTTGTCTTGAGCACAATTGCGGATCTATGGCATTGTTTGTCTTGAGCACAGTTGCGGATCTGGCTTAAATGCGTGTCACTTCCGGATTTGTTGCCATACGAGGCTTCTGCGGAAGCGAGGGTTGAGAGTTGGCCATGGCTCAACATCCAAATTGGTTAGCCCCCGGTGGACATCAACCAATTTCCCTACTAAAATAGACTAAGATGGGTGGTGAATTCACCAATCCCAGCCAAAATGGGATCAACCAAAACGGTTTTGACCACCACAGCCAGTGGTTTGTGCTCATGGCCCCTGATGATTCTAGGCGGAGGACTTGCGGCTTCGGTGGCAGATGGGAGAGCTGAGGCAGGGCTGGTCATCTTGCTTACCTGGCTGGTGCTTCTAGGGGACACTTCCATTTCCATTCTTTCCAGGGATCCTTCTTTCTGGAAAATCTCCAGAAACCCAGGGAAAACGCCTGGTTTTTGGAAAAGAACGATGGGTTGAACAGAATGGAAGAGGAATCAACCGCTAGAGTGGGTGACCAGTCTCCATCCATCGCGTCTCTTGGAGGATCCCTGCAAAAGGCCAGCATCCAACATGGAGCAAGGTCCAGTGTTGTTTAAACGCAGGGAGTTGGAGCGCTGATTTGCTGCAAGCATTGTCGGTGGGCTAAACGGAACAATTTTCGGCATGCGTGTGTTGGCTGTCACTGTTCTCTCGAGTTGCAACATGAGCTTGAGGCAGTCAATCCGAACAAACTGGCTATGAGCCACAATCAAACTTTGGGCAGCTGAAGCTTAGAAGGGGCACTTCCGCCAGAACCACAGAGAGGTGTGGCCTTCCACCAAATTTTATTCAATACATGGCTTGTGGGTCATATTGGCTGCTTTGTTTGCTTGTTGCCTGGGCATTGCCCGCAGGCACCGGGACTTGGCCCCTCCTGGCCCGTGCCTGCATCTCTTGGAGCCCAGACCCGCTTTCATAGGCAGGACATCGGCGAGAGAGCTCAGAGCGCAGAGGTCCGTCAATGAGCGCCGATCCCATCGCAAAGCGAATCGAAGCGCTATCCATCGATCCATGCAATGCACTCATCCGGCAGGGGCCCTGCCGACGCAGGTCTGGAGATCTTCAATGACATGGATGCCTTTCCAGGCCAAGCTGTCACCGTGTTGTGCGAGCCATCTTCAATGGGTGAGCGCAATGGAATTCCTGCAGCGGGTGCAAACCGTGTCTTCCCAAGTGGCAGGCAGTGATGCTCGTGTTGTCACAGGCACTGACCTTGGTGCAAGGGTTCATCAAGTCGATGGCAGACTGCGGCAGCGGTGCAGCTTTAGTCATGTGACCATGCCACCCCGCCCAGGAAATTGCGGCCTGACGCGGTGCCGAGAGATCTGTTTGCAGGAAGCCAGCGTCGCAGCAACTCGTGTTGCTGTTTTCAAGCAGTGTGCGTGCGTGCATGTGTGTAGAATATGAAGAGTTGGCCATGGCCTTGCTTGTATTTTTGTATTTGTTGAATTTTGTTTGGTTAGAGGGCTTTGGGCTTTGGGTTTGCGCCCTGTTTGGAAGTCTGCTCAAATTATTCAACATATTCAACATTTGGCACTTGTGAAGCATGTATGACGACGCAGCAATTGATCATCCTTTGAGATTCAACCTGTCCAGCTCCAGGAGGGATTCTGCGGCTTTGCCATCAAAGATGGGGTTGCCCGCTTCCGTCTGCAGCTTAAGATGCATCCGGTCGCATGCAACTCCTCTCATATTGAGTCTTCATCTGTTCCAACAGGATGGCTGGACCAACTGATATTGCAGTAGAAAGTCAACCTATGTTTGTTAGACTGCCACAATGAGGTAGGCTTCGCCGACCATCCCACCAACGTTCGACTTCAAACATGCATGGCTTGCTTCTCTTCATGAAGCGTTGCAGAAAGGCAAAGACGTGGAGAGTCGAGCTGTGCCAGAGTCTCGAGGCTCTGCTGATGCCTCGGTTTTGAAGAGCCGGCTGGTGCCGTCGCCATCCAGACATGCTTGGAATGCGGTTTTCAGGCATGGGTATGGGTCAAAATTAAACCACCAGGGGACCGCAGGTTTTGGGCCATGTTTCCACTCATCAGGGTTCCATTTTGGGTACATATTTTTTCACCCACAGCCACATCGTGGAGATGGGTGTTTTGCCTGAAGCCTTGCTCAGAATGTAAAACGACGGCAACCGCCTCCCCAGAGCAACAAAAAGAACTCAGGTGGGCTGGGAGAGGGGCGCTGCAGACGGCGACGAAGTTCAACGCGTTTCCCCCCCCCCCCCCCTCCCGGTTTTTTTCTTCATTTTTTTTTCCGGGTGTGGCTGTGAAAGCCAGCCTTTACAAAGCCCCTCTTGAGGTTTGCGCTTGGGGTGCGTGTTCGCTGTGGCGTTGCCAGGCCGGGCTCCATATTTCACATCCTCACCGTGGAGGCGGCGGCCGCCGGGCGGACGATCCCTGCCGGCCAAGGGATGCTAGGCCTTTAACCTGTTGGTCAGCTAATGGGTTTTCCGTTTTTGAACCACCGAAAGTGACACCTTGTTTTTTTAGGGGGAGCAGAAAGCAACCGAGATTGCCGAAACAGTTTCGCGAAGATGGTCCTGCAACAGCAACGCCTGATGATCACCGTTAGCCACTTCCATGTTGATGTATGTTTGGCATGCCTGTCACCGCCTGTCTATGTAAACGTTCTTGCATCCACGTTGCCTCTTGCAGCAGAGGCAAGATCATGCGATTTGGGTAGAGTCCAGAGTCAGAGCCAAGGGGTCGTTTGGCTGCAGATGGCCTCGGTGACAGGGACCCACGTGCTGGAAGATCTGGCACTCTCCTGAGCCAGTCCGCCGACAGCTTTACGGCTCCGAATTCAGCTGCACAGATGGACGGAACTTCAAAAAGGCTTGACATGACTTCAAGGTCCCAAGCCGACAGCATGAAGCTTGCAGAAAAGCGCGAACAAAACGCTCGAGACTCGCCAGGCTTGGCTTTCTGCCTGGAGGATTCCTCGGCCGCGCCATGGACGCTAGAGACATCTTCGAGTTGATGCTGGATGAGTGCTGGAGCGCCTTTCGGGCCAGAATGCTGGAGGCCGGACTCCCGGAGCTCTTCCGGGCTTTCCAGGAATCAATCCCGGAGACATTCGTGTTTTTTTTTTGACAGCCTTGCAAAAGGTGGCAATTGGGGCATAGCAGGGAAAATGCCTCAGCTATCCTTGTGTGTGTGTGTGTGTCTGTATACGAGTGTGTGTATGTGCGCGTGCGTATGTGCGTCATTGCAGTTCGCATGAGCTATCCAGGATTGTTTGTTTGTTTGTGTTTGTGCGCGCGTGGGTGTGTGTGTGTGTAGTGTGTCTACGCATATGCGTGTTTTGAATTTTGTGTGTGTGTGTGCGCATCTTTGTGTCTCTGTCTGTGCCCGTATGCTTGCGTGCTTGCGTGTCTTTGCATGTCTAGTTTAAGAGTGATTGTGTTTGTACTTGCTTGGTCTGTGGGATGTGCTTTACCACTGAACAAGTGCGCGCATGCACAAATCACAAATCACAACGTGGATGTGGATGTGGATGTTGATGTTGATGTGGATGTGTGTGTGTGTGTGTGTTTGTGTTTGTGTGTGTGTGTGTTTGTGTTTGTGTGTGTGTGTGCGTGCGTGCGTGCGTGCATGTTTGTGTTTGTGTGTGTTTGTGTTTGTGTTCGCGCGCTTGCGTGTGTAGTTGTGTATGCGTGTGTTTGTGCTTGTGTATAT